CCACACCCCAGCCCCTCACTGGGGGATCCTAGGCAGGAGCTTTACCACTGAGCCACACCCCAGCCCCTCACTGGGGGATCCTAGGCAGGGGCTCTACCACTGAGCCACACCCCAGCCCCTCATTGGGGGATTCTAGGCAGGGGCTCTACCCCTGAGCAACACCCCAGGCCCTCATTGGGGGATTCTAGGCAGGGGCTCTACTCCTGAGCCACACCCCAGCCCCTCACTGGGGGAGCCTAGGCAGGGGCTCTACCACTGAGCTATACCCCAGAATCTGCCCCCCCTTTTTTTACTTTGAGACCAGGTCTCACTAAGTTGCAGAGGGTGGCCTTCAACTCACTCTGTTGCCCAGGCTGACCTCTGACTCCTGGCCACCTACCTACCTCAACCTTCTGAGAGCTGAGATTACAGGCCCGTGCTACCACGACCGGCTGAACCAACTTCTTTGCCAGGTTGTTCAGTGGAGAAAGGGTTTATTGGTCCAGTCTGAGTCATTATGAAAGAGATAACCAAGAAAAAAATGAAGGCACCTTGGGTTGGCCATAGGCAGTGACCAAATGGCCTAAGAAGCATGGATGTGAAGGAGTCAGTGGTCTTTCCCAGCTGAGCAGGCAGTGGGAACACCTTTAATAGAAACTCTTGTGGCTCCTGCCCCCTAGTGGACACATCAACCCTGACCACAGCCCAACCAGCCCAGTCACTGAAGTGGACGTCTGTGAATTGAGGAACCAGTCATTGAAGGGGACGTCTGTGAATTGAGGGACCAGTCAGTCTTCACTTGCCTCCGGAAGCAGGAAGGGAGATTGGGATAAAGTTTTCCTCAAAGCAGTAGTTACAACTATCTTTTTAAAACTATTATTTTTATTTTATGTGTATAAGTGTATTGCCTGCATGTGTGTAAGTGCAGCCATATTGTGAAATGCCTATAGAGGTCAGAAGAGGGTTTTGGATGCCCTGGAACTGGAGTTATGGATGGTTGTTAGCTGCCATGTGGGTGCTGGGAATTGAACCCAGGTCCTCTGCAAGAACAGCCAGTGTTCTTAACTCCTGAGCCATCTCTCTAGCCCACCCCCCCTTTTTTTAATTAGTTACAACTATCTTAATCAAAATTCAGATGACCGGGGCTGGAGAAATGGCTCAGCGGTTAAGAGTACTGACTGCTCTTGCAGAGGACCCGGGTTCGATTCCCAGCACCCACATGACGGCTATGAACCATCCTTAACTCCCGTTCCAGGGGAATCTGAAGCCCTCTTCTGACCTCTGTGGCATTGCACCACACGGGTGCGCTCACATGCAGGCAAACACTCATACACATTAAAAAAATAATAATAAAATATTTTAAAAACAAGCCAAAATTCAGATGACCTAACTGTGGTTTTGGTACTGGTGTACACCTATAATCTCAGCTCTCTGGAGGCTGAGGCAAGAGGATGGAGAGTTCAGGAACCCCTGGGCTACATAGCAAGACCCTGTCTCATAACTAACTGATACTCTGAAATGGTCTAAGGACCAGATAGGCTGGGTTGTTGAAGGTAAAATACACATTTGTCAAACTCCGGCTAACCTACCCTAAAACGGGAGTGTGAGGCCGGAATTCAAATTCACTCAGCCTGTCCTTGCAATATGCATCTTTTAGAGATTGACCCAGGCCTTCTCCAAAGACCTGTGCTTAGTGGCCGCATCCAGCAGGTGGCGCTGTGGTACAGGAAGTGTCTTCTAGGGAGCCAGCAACCACAAGTCATCAAAACTGGCCTTTCCTTCCTTCTTATAGGGCACCAGACGTTTCTGGTAGCCCATGGAGCAGGCCCTGATCGGGAGGATCCCCTGGTGCCCAGAAGCATCTGAGACAGCCACACAAGCCCTGCTTCCATGGCAGTGGAAGCTCGGAGGGTCCCACTCAACGTGTCACCCCAGCTTGCTCTCCCAGTTGACTGCAGGTGTGTTCCCCGCTTGAGGAACACAGACTTTTCTTTAGTCAGTAATTACAGCCTCATTCACCAGTCAGGGGCAGGGATGGAGGTAGCCCACCAGGATAGCAAAGACTGAACTTGTTTCTTTGGGCATCTATCTGTGCCAGAGCTGCAAGGTAAATAGTTCCCAGGGCCAGCAAGCACTAGAAGATTCCCCACGCCGCTGTCCCTCTGCAGACCACAGGTTTCACCTTCCACCATCCCCGCCCATCACCAGGGCCCATGACCCTCCAGCTGGAATAACACAACCACCCTTGCTAAGGTTACTCCAAATTGGCCTGAGGAGGGAGGAATCAGGAGCACCTGGGGTAGGGGTGGGGAGAGAACACCATGTACCCACGTTACCAGTCCATCTTGAGGTCTTTGAATATTTTATCTATTATTTTTATGTGTATGAGTGTATTGCCTGCATGTAGGTACACCCTACATGTGAACTCGTATCGTACAATGCCCATGAAGGCCAGAAGAGGATCCCTTGGAACCGGAGTTACAGATGGTCATTAGCTGCCATGCAGGTGCTGGGAAGCAAACCCAAGTCCTTTGCAAGAACAACCAGTGCTCTAACCCACCGGCCCATCTCGCCAGCCCCACCCTGAGGTCTGGGAACCAAACCCAAGTCCTTTGCAAGAACAACCAGTGCTCTAAGTACCGGCCCACCTCTCCAGCCCCACCCTGAGGTCTTTACAGTTTGGATGTGAAATGTCCCCTCCAGCTCATGTAGGAGAACATTTGTCCTGCAGCAGGTGGCTCTGGTTGGGAGATTAGGGAAACTTTAGCAATGGACACACTACTGTGTCATTGCCAGCTGGGACTCTGAGAGTTGTAGCCTAGGCCTCTTTCCTGTTTGGTGTCTCTGCTTCCTACTGGCCATGATGTGAACAGGCTGCCACTAAAGATGCCACCATGCCATCTACCCACCCCACTACCATCACGGTAGACTGTATTTCATGAAGCCATGAGCAAAAATATACCCTCTAAGTTGTTCCTGTTTGGCATTTTATCACAAAAGCAAGAAAAGTTAATATAGTCCATTAACAGAACAGCAGTGACTGATTCCTGGCTGCCCCCTCCACCTGTCTGACAACTTCCTGCTGGATCCTGGTCTGTGGAGCACCATCCTTTCTATCCCAGGGAGCTACTGTTTGCCAAATTCGTCTTTGTCACAAACACTGCCAAGTCTGGGATTTCACTTACATCTTAGCCTGGTACTCTGCCACAGATGCTGTCGTGAGACACAAGATCCTGCCACAGAGTCGGAGGGCCTCTTCTACCCACAGTCCACGAGGCATCAAAGAACAGCAACACTGGTTTGCCTCAACACCAAAGCCCTATGGGGAAAGCCTACACACTGATGGCTCCACGGGTCCTGGAGAGGGTGACAGTCCAGGGCAGAGCTTGGTTTAAAGGGTTCTTGTGAAAGGAACTCCCCCTCAAATTTGGCCATCTGGAGTGGATTTAGTGCGATCTCTGCCTACAGAGGGATACGCCTGTTCCAGGATCAAAATGGTACAGAGGAGCCAGGGGTAAGTGCAGAGCACCTGCCTGGATCCAGAGAGGGTCTAGGGATGTGGTTCTGCAGCAGGGAATCCACCTACAGTCCCCCAGTGAGGGCCTGGGGGGTGGCTCAGAGGTAGAGTGCTCGTACAGAGAACCTAAATTCAATCCCAGACTGGCAAGACAGCTCAGCGAATGAAGACATTTCCTACTAAGCCTGGCCACCTGAGTTTGATCCCTAGAACCCACATGAGTGGGAGAGAACTGACTCTTGAAATTTGTGCTCTTTCACATGTGCACTGTGGCTTGCACACACACACACGCATACATCAATAGAATTTTTAAAATTCTTTCTTGGGCCAGTGAGATGGGTCATCAGATTAGGCACTTGCTGCCAACCCTGCCAACCTGAGTTGAATCCTGGGACCCACATGTTAGAAGGAGAACCAACACCTGCAAGTTTTCTGACCTCCACATATGTGCTACGACATGTGCATGCTCACATACACAACTAAAAATAGAATAAAAATATCTAAATTCAATCCCAGTAACAAAGAAAAGCAGATCTGCCCTAACCATGTAGACAGGTGTGCTGATTAGTTTTTATCAACTTGACACAAGTCTAGACATACATAGGAAGAAGGGAAACTCAACTGAAGAATTTCCTCTCTGAGATGGACCTGTGGCCATGTCTTGGGGCCTTTTCTTGGTTGCTGATTGATGTGGAGGACCCAGCCCACTGTGGGTGGTTCTATCCCTCAGCAGAGGGACCTGGGCTGTATAAAAGGTAGCTGAGTAAGCCAAGGAACGTGAGCAGTGTGAGCAGTGTAAGCAGTGTTCCTCCACAGCCACTGCTTCAGTTCCTGCCTGTAAGATGAAATGACCCTTTCCTCCCCAAGGTGCCTTTGGTCATGGTGTCTATCACAGCAAAAGAAAGCAAACGAGAATTTGGTCCCTTGCTGGTACCAGTTAACCTATGTTGTGCCTGTGTCAGCCAGTACCAGCCCTCTGGCACCAGCCTCGCCCCTCCTCACGAGCGCCATCGTTACTATTTGGGTTGGCAGAACCGCCTTCATTTTCCCCAGGGAAGTCTGGCTGTTGAACACTTGGCCAAGTTCCAACGTGACTCTGCACCCAGGGAGGCAGATAGCTGGAACCCCTCCAATTTGGAGGATGTTTTGGTTTTGATTTTCGGATGTGTTGCCTGGTGGTGGTTTTCTTGCTACTTAACTAATAATTGCTGTCAGCTCAGCCTTGTCATTACCAGCTTAGTTTGTTATGGGTTATTTAGTTAAATTGCATGTATAACAACTTGGTTTTGCTTCAACCCCCATGTGTGTGGCCTGCAATTTTCCACTAATTAGACATTTTAAAGTCACATATGCATTTATCTACTCAGATCGACATCATCTGTTTGCCTGTTGCCCACCCCTCTGTGGGAGATGATTCTCGTATTACGAGTTTTTTCGCCATGGGAGAGTGGGAACCAGTAGGGCTTGGACCAGTTCTTGCCTCCGGAAGGGAGAGCCACCAAAACAGATCATAGGAGCGGTGTGGGTCTGAGCCAGGCAGGTGTAGGGTCTGGAAGATAAACAGACACCGCCTCCCCCATAGTTGCAATTTAGCCAAAAACCCACTAAGGATTCCAAGCTCCCGGCCCTGAAGAGTCTTGGCACCCATCAATTCTGCATGATTCAAGCATCAGTTGTGACTCTTGTCAAATGACTTTATTTCCCCAGTGTGGGGAAGCTGTGACTAGGGTCTGTGGTCCCTGTAACCCCCAGGACCCTCTGGTCTCCTCTGCTGTGGCTGGTCCCAAAAAGAGGCTAACAGTGCCTCCAGCGCCAGAGCTTGCCTCTGGGAGGAGCTGGGCCTGCTGGGGTTCCTATGGTGACACTTTGTCAGGGCAGCAACCCATGAGCATGGACGGAAGCTATGGTGAGGCTAAAGCCATGGGGTACGCAGGATGAGGCAAGTTGGGCCTCCCTCGAGGAGTGAACCCCCTATGGGAGGGGCAATACCTTGAAATTCATCAGGAAGACTCAATCTGGAAGAGAGAGAGAAAAGAACAGGTGATGAGGGAAGAAAGGGAGACCAGCAAAAATCAGAAACCATGCTGGGGAGACAGCAAGTAAACTTCAAGCCTGGGGACCTGAGTTCAGATCCTGCCCTGGTTAGCTTCAAGTATCAACTTGACACAGCCTGGAGTCGTCTGAGAGCTGAGACATTTCCCAGATCAAACTGGCCTATAGACATGTCTGTAGGGAATTGTCTTGATTGCTAATTGATGTAGGAGGGCCCAGCCCACTGTGGGTGGTACTATTCCCTAGGCAGGTGGTCCTGAGCTGTTTAAGGAAGCCAGCTGAACATGAGCCTGTGAGAGGGCCAGCAAGCTTCCCTTCATGGTTTCTACTGTATGACTTGGCCTGAGCGAGTTGGTCAGAAGTAATGCTGTGCAGAGCATCAAGCGGCTGCCCTTCAAATTCCTGCTTGAGTTCCTCCTTGACTTCCCTTGGTGATCTGCAAGTGTGAGCCAAACAAACCCTTTCCTCCCCTAAGGTAGCTTTGGTCAGAGTGTTTTAGCACCGTAAGAGAAACAAAGCTACAACAGATCCCCAGCACCCACATAAAAAGCCAGGTGTCAGGCTGGAGAGATGGCTCAGCAGTTAAGAGACCAGCTGCTCTTCCAGAGGATCAGGGTTCAGTTCTCAGCACCCACACGGTGGCTAACAACTGTCCATAACTCCAGTTTCAGGGGATCTGACACCCTTTTCCTTCATGGGCATTGCATGGCACGGGTGCACTTACATACATGCAGATGAAACACTCATACACATAAAATAAGAATAAAGGAATAAATTTTTAAAAAGCCAGGTGTGGCATCCCATCTCCAAATGAAAAGCCAGGGAGTAAGGTGGAGACAGGCAGATCCCCAGACCTCACTGGCCAGGCAGTTGGTGAATTGGGGTTTCAGGAAGAGATCGTCTCAAGGAGTAAAATGGAAAGACTGGATGTCCACCTCTGGCCTCCACATGTTTGCACATGTACATACTCACACACAAAAAACACAAGACTCGACAGTCTTCAGAAGATCAAGCAAGGGACTCAGGCACAAAGTAAACCCATATGGAGGGAAATCTTGCTGAAGTACAGAGGCCCGGGACACACGTTGGTGCTACACACTGACCTTTGAACCAAGCAGGCTTGGAGGTGGTGGCACCCCTGGAGGAAGCAAGGCAGAGCGGCTCAGGGCGTCCGCCACCCAACTCAGAACTTGGGTACAGTGTTGGACCTGGGGAGCAGGAAGGATATAAAGTCAGAAGAAGGGAACCGCCCCATCCCGGCCCCGTTCTTGCCAGTCCCCCCTCCACCAGGCAGGCCCCAAGTACTCACCCCTCTCTCTAGCTCTTTCAGACGCCTGTCATACTCCCGGATCTGCCCCAGCTGCTTCAGTGCAGTGTCCACCCTAGAAAGCGAGTCTTCCCGGTGACTACAGGCCCCGCCCATCCACAGAAGCCACGCCCACAGCGACGCAGACCGACAGAGGCCACGCCCCTGGAGCACCGCCCCGCATGCGCCGCCTCCATCCTTGGCTCTCTGCCAGCACATCACTGCAGCCCCTCCGCCGGAGCCCCGCCTCTCCCAGGCCCCGCCCTCACTTCTGAGACGTTCGCTTCAGCCGCTCAGAGTCACAGTCCCGCTTGTCCCGAGCTTGTGCCAACAGGAAGTTCTCTTTGTGCACTGACTCCCAAGTCAGCAGTTTCCGGTCCGCTTCCTTAGACAGGTAGATGCCTGAAGGGTCGAGTCCCCGGAGTCAAGGGCCCGCCCACCTCCACGGAGCCCCTTCCCAGACTCCGCCCCAGGCGATGCAGACCACTCCCTCATGAAAACCCCCTCCCAGTCCCTTCCCGGGTGTTGTAGGCCCCGCCCCTCATGCAAGCCCCGCCCATTCCGCCGACTCCCTTCGCCGGCTCGGTCCTTATTGTAAGCCCCGCCTATCTCTGCGGAGCCCATTCTCAGGTCCCGCCCCCAGGTGCAACAGACCACGCCCCTCATGAAACGTCTCTCACGTAAGCCCCGCCCAGTCCCTGGCAAAGCTCCGCTCCCAGGCCTTGCAGCGGTCCCGCCCCCAGGCCATACAGCCCCGCCCACCCCGTCCCTGCCTGACCTTCGAACTCCTTTCCCCAAGACCCTCCGCTTGAAAGCCCTGCCCAGTTCTCACGGAAATGCACGGAGGCAACGGAGACGGGCTGGTTGGTCCTGCGACTACACCTGCGCAGGCGCCTGATAAGCAACCGCACGTGAGAGATGATGATGAGGGGTGGGGCCAGCGCGGGCCGCGAGTGGAATTCCCGGATGAGGCTGTAGCGCTGCGCCTTCCAGTAGAGGTCGCTGTTGTCCTGGACTTTGTTGAACGTGTAGCTGTGGAAGCCAGAGGTCAAGGGTCAGTGGAGGCCAACAGGGGCTTTGATTATGGGACTCAATCAGAAGTCAAGACGGGATTTGAGGTCAGAGGTCAAATGGGGGCCATCAAGGATCAAGGTAGAGATTGGAGACAGGATGGGAATTACACAGCTTGGGCCCCAGTGTGGTGGCCCTCGCCTTTATTGCCAGAGGCAGGTGGCTCTTAGTTGAGTTCGAGGCCAGCCTGGTCCACATAGGAGTTCCAGACCAGCCAGGGCTACATAGTGAGACCTGGCTCACAAACCAGAAAAATGGGCTGGAGAGATGGGTCAGTGGTTAGGGCACTGGCTGCTCTTGCAGAGGACCCAGGTTCAGTTCCCAGCACCCACATGGCAGCTAACAACCATCTATAACTTCAGTTTCAGGGAAGTTCAATGCCCTCCTATACCTCCATGGGCATTGTACACCATGGGTGCACTTACATACATGCAGGCAATACACTCATACACATAAGATAAAAATAAAAAATTTTTAGGTCTTTTTGAGGCAGGGTCTCCCTGTAGCCCCAAACTCACAGAGATCTGCCTGCCTCTGCCTCCTGAGTGCTGGGATCAAGGGTGCGCCACCATGCCCAGCTAAAAAAATAATAAAACTTAAAAAATTTTTTTTTAATTTTATGTGTATGCGTGTGTTGCCTGCATGTAGGTCAGTGCACCATGTCGTGCAATGCCCGCGGAGGTCAGAAGAGACTGTCGGATCCCTTGGGACTGGAGTTCCAGACAGTTGTTAGCTGCCATGTGGGTGCTGGGATTCGAACCTGGGTCTTCTGCAAGAACAACCAGTGTTCTTAACTGCTGAGCCGTCTCTCCAGCCCCATAAAACATTTTTAAATAAAAAAATTAACACCATCTGGGCACGGTGGCGCATGCCTGTAGTCCCAGCACTCAAGAGGCAGAGGCAGGTGGATCTCTGAGTTCAAGGCCAGCCTGGACTACATAGTGAGTTCCAGGCCAGCTGGGGCTACAGGGAAACCCTGTTTCAAAAAGAACAAAAAAAAAAAAAAAAAAGCCGGGTGTGGTGGCACACGCCTGTAATCCCAGCACTTGGGAGGCAGAGGCAGGTGGATCTCTGTGAGTTCAAGGTCAGCCTGGTTTACATAGTGAGTTCCAGGACAGCTGGAGCTAAAGGGAGACCCTGTTTCAAAAAGACAAAAAAAAAGAACACCAAATACCAATCTCTCTTTTTGAAAAGCAGAGATGTCCCAACTCATTCATGAGATAATGACATCACAAGAAAATTACAAGTCACCAATATTGCTTATAAATATATGGGAAGCACCCTCAAAAATACCAGCCCATCACATTCAGCATACTAAAAGGACTATATATTGTGACAAATTAGGGTTTGTCCTGGGAAAACACAGATGTTCGACATATGGAACCCAATGAATTCACTTCATAAGAGGGAGGGGCACATGTTGATCTTAACAGACACAGAAACAACATTGGAAAAAGACACAACAGGGACAGCACGATGGTGCACATATTTAATCCCAGCACTTGGGATGCAGAAGCAGGTGGAGGCCAGGCTGGTCTACATAGCGAGTTGCAGGCCACCTGGGGCTACAGGGAGACTCTCTCAAAAAGAAAAAAAAGGGGGGGCTGGAGAGATGGCTCAGTGGTTAAGAACACTGACTGCTCCTGCAGAGGACCCGGGTTCGATTCTCAGCACCCACATGGTGGCTATGAACCGTCCTTGACTCCAGTTCCAGGGGAATCTGAAGCCCTCTTCTGACCTCCGCAGCAATGCACAACACGGGTGCACTCACATACATGCAGGCAATACATTCATACACATAGAATAAAAATAATAAAATATTTTTAAAAAATCATTTCATGATTTTTTTTTTTTTCTTTAAATCATGGGGATGGAGAGAGGGCTCAGGAGTTAAAAGCATTGGCTGCTCTTGTAGAGGATCCAGATTTGGTTCCCAGCACCCACTTGGGAATCAGAAGCCCTCTTCTGGCCTCTGTGGGTACTGCATTCATGGGATGCACTTATATACATGCAAATTCTTACATAAAATAAAAATGAATCTAAAAAAAATGGATAGAAATTATTACAGAGTTACACCACTGGTCACATACAGAGAATCTCTGTGAATTCCCTAAGCCCGAGAGGCACATCCAGGATGCAACCTCTATACCTAAGACTCACAGAACATAGAACAAGGGATGAAGAGAACAATAATGCATCTTTCAAGTCTCATCAATGAAGCTCCCTCATGCAACAGAGGGCCAGAAACACAAAAGGCCATAAATGCCAAAACACAGAGAATAAGAGTTGGCAGAGTGTGGGTCCTTGGACAGGTCTCCTATATTGAGGTCCACCCATCCAGGGCTCTGGGACCATTGCAGAAGAAGGGGTGGAAAGATTGTAAGAGCCAGGGAGGAGGTGCCTGACCATAGGGAAATACTCCTACAGGCGCCTGGGACCCTTCTCATACAAACCTACAGCAATGGTGTCAGCATGCACAAGACCCATGCAAACTTAGGCAGACAAAAACCCAGCACAGAACTGTGGAAATGAACAGCAGGCCCCAATCTTAGTCAAAGAATTATTGGCAACTGATTACTGCTGGGTGAGAAAGAGCTGATCTCGAAGGGAGAGACTCTAGATAGCTGACTAAACCCCGGTGGATGAACTTGCACTGCTGGACATCTCAGGACACTAACTTTACATAATAGGCCTTAATACAAATGACAGAATGTATGAACTCCAGTGGGTGGGCCTATGGAAGGGTGCCAAACGGGAAGAGGGAAGGGGGGGGTATAAAGATGATTTTCTGTATGAAATACACTCAATAAAAGTTTTATATATATAAAACCAAGCCAGGCAAGGTGGCACATGGCTGTAATCCTGGTATCTGGTAAGCACAGGCAGGAGGATCAGGAATTTGAGGCCATCCTTAGCTACACAGTGAGTCCGAGGCCAGCCTGTCTGACATGAGACTAATAAAATAAAAGCAAACAATGTCATACCAGCATAAAGATAGACATATAAACTGAACGACCAAAAGCAAACAATATTAGTGTGTCTGGATATAGCTTTTGTATTTCTCTAAAAAGGACGTGGAAGCTCTACCCCATATATCAGACTGACACATTAGAAACAGGATCTTTGCAGATGTGATCAAGTTCAGTGAGGTCATTGGGGGAGCACTCCAATATGGCTGATGTCACTAGAAAGTGAGAATATTTAGAGATTTAAAAGCAGAGATTTCAATGTCATGTCTGCAAGCCAAAAATGACTAAGAAGCCACTGGGTACAGGGGAGACGTATGGAGTGGCCTCGCCCTCACTGGCCTCAGAAGGAATTGAATTTGCCAACACCCTGACCTTGGTCTTCATGGGACTGAGCATCTATAAACCCTAAGGCCCACTGAGAAAAGTTCTGAGACCAGCTGAGCTGCCTGGAGGTGGCAGAGACCAGCCAAGCTACCTAGAAAAGACACTCCAAACCGGGCAAGCTGCCTGCAGGTGGTGTGGTGCACTCCAGGCTTCCTGCTTTCTTGAGTTGTCACCCATGTTGGGGTGGGCTTTGGTGATGCTGCTGCTGTCTGTGAGCCATTTCTGCTTCTGTAAGTACCCCTCACCTATACTCCTTTTAGTAATTGGATAAAACTCATTGGTTCACCAACTTGGACTTTGGTGGCATCCTTACCTTGGTCTGTCATCAGTTCCCTACCTGGGGTGAATCAATATCTATTCATGTCTCCCAGGGAAGTGTGTCGCACAACAGACACCAAAAGTACAAAGAAACAAAAGTTAAAAACAATAAAAGCAGGCTGGGCATGGTGGTGTACGTCTTTAATACCAACACTCAGGAGGCAGAGGCAAGCAGATCCCTGTGAGTTCGAGGCCAGCCTGGTCTACATAGTGAGTTCTAGGCCAGCTGGGGCTACAGGGAGACCCTGTCTCAAAAAGACCAAAAATTAATTAATTAAATAAATAAAAAGCAAAACTATAAGCAACAAAAGAATAAATAAATCGGGGCTGGAGAGATGGCTCAGCAGTTAAGAACACTGGTTGTTCTTGCAGAACACCCAGATTCAAATCCTAGCACCCACATGGCAGCTAACAACTGTCTGTAACTCCAGCTCCGGGGGATCAGACAGCCTCTTTTGTCCTCCGCAGGGATTGCACTGCACAGGTGCACTTACTTACATGCAGACATAACACTCATACACATAAAATAAAAATATAAATAAAATATTTTTTTCTGTCTTTTTGAAGCAGGGTCTCCCTGTAGCCCCAGCTGCCCTGGAACTCACTATGTAGACCAGGCTGGCCTTGAACTCATAGAGATCCACCTACCTCTGCCTCCCAAGTGCTGGGACTACAGGCGTGCGCCACCACGCCCGGCATAAAATATTTTTTAAAAAAAGAATAAATAAATCAATAAAGTGGACTTCATCAAAAATTACATGCATGTACCAGTCATGGTGGCCCACACATGTGATTTCAGCACTCAGGAAGTGGAGGCAGGAGGATTTACCCAAGTTCCACAACAGTGAGACCCATCTCAAAAGTCCAGGTCAGACACACAGTTTGGCCAACCCTGGAGGAGGGATGGGGCATGAAACATATTCCACAGGGTTCTGGCCCTGACCAGGGGGTGGTGAGGCCCAGCGCACCTGAACATGGCGATGAGTAGGTTTACCAGCAGGATGTTGGCCACTAGCAGGAAGATGATGAGGAGCAAGACCACCAGCCAGTTGGCGTACTGCGACACACAGGAGCCAGCACTGCGGCCCTCAGGGAACGCCCAGGATCCCTGCTCCAAGGAGCAATTAGCAGGATCCATGAGAACCACTGTGGGAAGACAGGGGGTGAATGGACGAGACCTAGAGACAGGGACAGAGATGCGGAGGGGGGGGGCAGAACAGAGACCTGGAGACAGACAGAATGAGACAGGGATCGAGACTAGAGACAGAGTATCAGAGACCTGGAAATGGAGACTGAGAGAGACAGAGGGGAGGGAGAGACAGACAGACAGACAGAGACAGACACAATACACAGGGAAAGGGAGAGCAGAAACCTAGACAGGGGGACAGGGGCTCACAGGAAGGGGCTGGGCTTTCGCCCTCCCCTACCATCCATCTCTGCCTGGGGAATCTGTCCGAAGATCTGCAGGTAAGGCCGGTAGAAGACGCGCCGCAGGATGCTGGGCAGGTCCCGGTCCTGGGGTCTCAGGAGCCCCTCTGTGGCCACCCCGTAGGCCACAAGCCACACACACAGGAAGAAGAGGAAGAAGAACACGTCTTTCACCTGGAAGCAGAAGGCTGGGCTGAGTCTGGCCCCGTCCTTCCCTCCCTGGCCCTGCTTCTTCCCAGAGCCACACGCCTGCCGAAACCACGCTCTCCCACAGCTTAGACCTCTTCCCTTCCTGCGCCCCCTCCTAGCCTTAGACATGCTTCATATCTAAAGCCCTGTCCCTTCCTGCTCTGGAGACAACAACCTGCAGTCTAACCTCTCCCTCCCTCCGCCCCACTTCCCCTCTCTGCCTCCCTGGACCCTCCTGACTTCCGAGTCCCACACCTGACACTCAAAGACATAGCTTTCCTATGAGGGCCTACCTTTCTTTTTATGATTATTTTTTATTTTATGGATGTGTGTAAGTGCAGCCATGCTGTGCAATCTCGGCGGAGGTCAGAAAAGGGGATCGGATCCCTTGGAACTGGAGTTGTGGACAGTTGTTAGCTGCCATGTGGGTGCTAGGAACTGAACCCGGGTCCTCTACAACAGCAGCCAGTGCTCTTAACCACTGAGCCATCTCTGCAGTCCAAGCACAACCTTTCCTTAACTCCTAAACTCCACCCTTCCACCCTACTCCACCCCTTCACTCCAGGTCCCACTCCTCCTTCTAGGCCGGGTCCCTCTTCTCCAAGGCCCTCCACTCCAAGTCCTACCATTTCCAGGCCCCGCCCTCCTCTCCAGGCCCCGCCCCCATCCCAAGCCCCACCCTCCTCTCCAGCCTCACCATCTTGCTCACGATGACGATCTTGGGCCCCAGCTGCTTGTTAACGGTGAAGATGTGCAACAGCCGCAGCGTGAAGATCATAAAGTCGAGGCAGAGGACAGTGCGGCCCAGGTCATACAGGCCAGGGGTCAGCCTGGGAGTGAGAAGACAGGCATGGCTCACAGTAGGGTCACAGAAATCTCTCCAGCGCCCTGCCTCTGGTGAAGCCAAAGCCTCCCAGGGCAGGACATCCTCTGTCACTGGCCAAGTGGTGAGGGGTGGCCTCCTTGAGCCACAGGATCCCTGCAGGAAACAGGTCAGGATGTAGCACACACCTGCCATTTCAGCACTGGGGAGGCCAAAGCAGGAGAGTTCAAAGACAGCACAGTGAGGTCCAGACCAACCTGGGCTACAGACTGAAACCCTGTCTCCTCATAAAAAGGGGGTTTCCCAAACTACCTAGTAGTCAGGAATGAATTAAACTGTGCACTTAAACATATGCAGGCAATACACATAAAATAAAAAATTATATATATTTAAAATCTATATGTGTTACAGATTCATGTGCCCTTTTACCCACTCATTTTATACCAGGGACATAAACTTATTATTTTGGACAGTAAAAAAATAATAACCTGTGTCCATCTAGAGGACACTGGCTCAATAACGGTGATTCATCCATTAGCCTGGAGGTGGCTGGACATTTCTGCCTTGCAAGATGAGCGCTTTGCATTTTTATCATGCACATACAATCATTACGCACACAGACACATACTCCAGGCACTTTGGAAAGCCGAGTGCTGGAGAAAACATATCAAATAGATCCTTGGCATTACCGCCCTGGCCCCAGCCTTGACCCTGTCATCTCAAAGGATACTTTATACTAAATAAAGACAGGGATAAACAGAAATATCAGTCTCCTGTGAAACTCTCTTATCTCCCTCTCTGTTAGAATAAATTATTCATGGCAGGTTACCCTGTTTCATCATCACACAGCCTAGAGGAAGCTGGCCTCTCCAGGTACCAAGGGCGAAGACCTTCAGTAAAGGGGGCATGGCTGTCCACCACCAGGGGACTGGACCTAGAGAGCTGCAAAGGTGGGGGCAATACAGCCCCTCACTGGGGATCCTAGGCAGGGGCTCTGCCACTGAGCCATACCCCAGCCCCTCACTGGGGGATCCTAGGCAGGGGCTCTACCCTGAGCCACACCCCAGCCCCTCACTCACCTGCAGCCCACACCCAGCAGAAAGCAAGTGAGCGCCAGCAGGTCGCACTGGTTCCAGACGTCGGTGACATAGAGGTGCAGGCGGTGGCGCAGGGGGACGTGTCCGGGCCCCGGCCCCCCACTGGCCAGGCTCCCCCAGCCGCTGCCCAGGCCCTGGCGCAGCTCCTCGCAGAGCAGCGTGAAGGCCCAGAAGTACAGCAGCAACTCTGTGGCCCTCGGAGCCTCCGGCTGGAAATCCACTAGCAGCACCCGCGAGAATAGGAGCAGGAACAGCAGGTAGCTGACCACGTTGCCCAGGAAGGCGGCGACCGGCGAGCCCCAGAAGTGTGACCAGCGCCAGGAGCAGTCCGCAGCCGGCCGCCGGCGCCTCGCCAGGGCCACCTTGGCCGAGGGCTCCCCGGACCTGCAAGGGAGAAAGCCTCAATGACCCCTGGGCGCTGCCTCGAGCATACTTTGCATCTCCCTTCTGGCTCCGCTGCAAACTCTGGGTTTAGCCCAAGCCTTTAATCCCAGCACTGGGAGGCAGAGGCAGGAGGATCTCTGTGAGTTTGGGGCCAGCCTGGTCTATATAGCGAGTTTCAGGCCAGCCAGGGGTGCACAGTGGGACCCTGTATCAATATATTTATTTATTTATTTATTTATTTATTTATTTATTTATTTATATATACACACATATATACATATATAGTATATATATATATATGACAGCGACCATAACAATGTCACTTCCCCACATCATCCACAGTAGGCCACACAGGCACAAGCTGCCTGGAGCTGGGGGTAATACAGTGACTGCTAAAGGAGTTGAGTTCCTAAAATAGAATGATTAAAAAGACATGCTTTTAAATTAACTGTGGACTGGAGAGATGACTCTGGCTTAGAGCACTTTCTGCCCTAGAATAGCACCTGAGTTGGGTTCCCAGGACCAGCATCAGGCTGCTCACACACCTATAACTCCAGCTCCAGAGGATGTAAGGCCCTCTCTGGGCCCCAGAAGGCATTGCACTCAGATGACATGAACACATACACACCAAAAAACAAAGGTTAACTGAGATGGGGCCTGGTGACACACACCTTTAATCCCAGCTCTTAGGAGGCAGAGGCAGGTGGATCTCTGTGAGTTTGAAGCCAGTCTGTATGTCTACATAGCGAGTTCCAGGCCAGCCAAGGCTACACAGTGAGGCCTTGTCTCTGAAAAAAGAAAACGGAAGCACAAGGTGAAGTCACTTTCAAGGTCAAAATTAATATGTGAACCCAGGTCCACTGGACTCCCAGAACAGTCCTCAGCATGCAGTGTGTTCCCTTAGCCTTAGAGTCACTGACACGCCCTAGTTGATGACGAATTATTTAAATTTTGTGTATCTAGGGGAATCTCTTGTAGGTAAACATCAACTTTGCCACTCCTTAGAGTTTAATCCACCATATGAAAAGGTGAGGTATCAAGGCTTTGAGTAGGCTGCTCAAAGCAAAGCTAGCTTGTCTCAGTTAAAAGAAGGGGAGGGGAGGGGAGGGGAGGGGAAAGGGAAGGAAAGGGAAGAGGGAGAGAGGGAGGGAGGGAGGGAGAGGATGATGTGGGGAAGTGACATTGTTATGGTCTCTGTCATATATATGTATATATGTATATATGTGTGTATAGACATATATAAATATATATATATATATATATTGATACAGGGTCCCACTGTGCACCCCTGGCTGGCCTGAAACTCGCTATATAGACCAGGCTGGCCCCAAACTCGAAGGAAGGAAGGAAGGAAGGAAGGAAGGAAGGAAGGAAGGAAGGAAGGAAAAAGAAAAGGTTCTGAGCTGCACCTTTGGCCTTTGGTGGAGACCTTACATTCTAAGCCACACAAACATTACATATTTCTGTCTCTTCCCTTTCAGTTAATCCGGTGCCAGGAACATGGCTCAGCAAACAAAGCTGACTGCCACCAAGCTTGACAAGAGTTGAATCCCTGGGACCCCTTTTGTGGGAGGGGAAAAACAACAGTTTTCTGATCCCCACAGGCGTGCTGTAGCATGTGTAACCATAGACACAAAAATAAATGAATAAATCAAGCGTGAGTTTTAAAAACATGTGACTGGAGAGACAGCTCAGCAGTTAAAAGCACATATTGTTCTTACAGAAGACCTGAGCTCACTTGTCATCACCTACATCCAATGGCCCATGCCTGTAACTCTAGTTCCAGGGGATCTGACACCCTTTTTTGGCCCCTATGGGCACTGCACTCATGTTCCAAACCTACACACAGACACATGTGTATATACGTAAGTTAAATTAAAATAAAATTTTGGAGCCGAGTGTGGTGGCGCACGCCTGTAGTCTCAGTACTCGGGAGGCAGAGGCAGGCGGATCTCTGTGAGTTCAAGGCCAGCCTGGTCTACATAGTGAGTTCCAGAACAGCTGGGGCTGCAGGGAGACCCTGCTTCAAAAAGACAAATAAATAAATAAATAAATAAATAAATTAATTAATTAATTAATTAATTAATTAAATAAAATAAAATCTTGGGGCTGGAGAGATGGCTCAGTGGTTAAAAGCACTTGCAGCTCTTGCAGAGGACCTGAGTTTAGCTCCCAGAAGCCACATTCAGGCAACTCGCAACTTCCTGTAATTCCAGTTCTAGGGGATCCAAAACTGTTCTTCTCTGCATGGAAACTGCATGCACATGGTGTATATACATACATTCAGACACACATGACACATAAAGTAAATAAATGAATCATTATATAAAATAATATCTTTTTTTTTTTTTTGTCTTTTTGAAACAGGGTCTCCCTGTAGCCCCAGCTGATCTGGAACTCACTAGGTAGACCAAAATGGTCTCAGTCTCACAGAGATCTACCTATCTCTGCCTCCCGAGTACTAGAATTAAAGGCATGTACCACCAGGCCTGGCTTTAAAATACTGAGTTAATTCCATGGAGCTGGAGAGAGGGCTCAGTGGTTAAGAGTACCGAGGACCTAGTTTTAGTTCCCAGTACCCACTTGACAGCTAACAACTATCTGTAACTCCAATTCCAGGGGATCCAACACCCCCTTCTGGACTCCACAGGCACTGCCCACACAGATGCACTTACACACATCTGTATACGTGATTTTATGCATACATATGTATGCATATACATAAAAATTAAAAAAAAATTTGGGGGAGTCTTTTAGAGACAGTGTCTCCCTGTAGCCCCAGCTGTCCTGGAACTACTATGTAGATCAGGCTGGCCTTGAACCCACAGAGATCCGCCTGCATCTGCCTCCCAAGTGCTGGGATTAAAGGCGTGTGCCACCACACCCAGCAAAAAATATTATTAAACTAAAAATATTTAAACAAAAGAGTTAAATGCAGTAAGGCCTGTCAACCACTTGCCCAGAAGTACCTCTTGCCTTCACCCCAGGGAATCTGAGTCACCAGAAGCTGAGGGCGGGATCTATGATCTCTTCAATGAAGGAATGCACTTTTCCCTCCCAGCAGCCCCACCCTCGGTGCAGCCCCGGACAGAGCTGCCACCAGGCAGCGTGGAGCCACCACGCAGGCATGCAACTTGCCCACTCTGATGCATCCTGGCTCAGAAAAACTTAACCTTTCCCTCTCCTTTTTTTCTTTCTGGATGCTGACCAAAGCCTCGACACACTGTCCCTGACACTCTGGACCCCTCGTTCACTGACCCTCCACCCCCCCTTCCTCCAAAGGGTATGCCTTCTTCCTCTTCTCCATCATCCTCCTGGAGGTCTTTTTGAGACAGGGTCTCCCTGTAGCCCCAGCTGGCCTGGAACTTGCTATGTAGACCAGGCTGGCCTCAATCTCACAGAGATCCACCTGCCTCTGCCTCCCATGCTAGGATTAAAGGCATTTACCACCACACCTGGTAGATCTCTGGGTTTTTACAAGATCTTCATTGGTACCACAGAATTGTGATAGAAGAAGGGCCCAGGGGTCAGGAAAATAACAGGAAAGTGAATAATCCCCTTAATGAACCAACTGCATCTGACTCTGGCTGCTGCAGAGGTTGGGGCGGACGAGTAAAACAAGGTAAACTGATCTCTTGTGATCACACCCTTGTGGGCAAAGCCAAATTTCTTTTTTTATTTTAATTGAATTTCGTCATTATTGTGTGTGTCTATATCTGTGTGTATGTGTGTATGTATGAGGTTAGAAGACAACTTTCAGGAATCAATTCTTCCACCAGGAGATCTACAGTACCAAACTCAGGTCTTCAGGCCCATGTGGTGGTTTGGATGAGAAATGTCTCCCAAAGGCTCAAGTATTGGAACATTTGGTCAGTTGGTGGCGCTATCTGGGAGGTCATGGAGTCTGTAGGAGGTACAGTCTTGCTGGAGGAAGCACTTCCCGGGTGGGCTCTAAGAGTTCATCGTCCAATGTGCGCCAAGACGCCATCTTTCAGCTTTCAGCTCTGCCTGCTGCCCCCGTGCTTCCCCCGCCCCGACGGGCTCCTAGCCCCCTGGAACTGTAAGACTAAATAAACTTCCTTCTATAAGCTGCCTTGATCCTGGTGTTTATCACAGCAACAGAAAAGTAACGCACACGGTGTGGAAATCCCTTTTACCCTCTAAGCTGTCCCCAGCCCCGGAACTGAAGCCATCTTCTAACACCTCAGTCCTCTCTTGCTTTACCCCAGTGCCTGGTGAGTCATGGAAGTCACACGAATCCCGACACCGCCCAGGTGCTGGGGTGTCACTCACCTGACAGGCCCCTCCCCGTTGATGTTACTGTCCTCATCGGATTCAGGGTCCTTCTGAATGGACTCGTCTTCTGACTTCCTGGCATGGGAAGGGCGGTACATAGTAAGAGTGTCTCCCAGACACTTTGGAGAGCTGAGTATAGTCACCTGATCCCAGAGGTTCTGAAGAACCCCAACCCTCACCTTCCAGAACAGGGAAGGATAGAGTCCCCTTCCCAGGGGGTAAGTAGGGAGGATAGCCTGAGTCCCTCCCACTGACCCCAGGGGACTGACCTGAAGGTGATGAGGTTGGTGTAGATGAGAGGTGGGCAGAAAAAGGCGAGAAGTAGGGCCCAGATGGGTGTGGTGCTGTCCATCTCCCCCCACCACTTCTGTGTTAGCAGAGACTGTGGGTAGTGCGGGCGATTAGAACCTGAATCTCCCATGGCCCCCTAAGATGCTGAGAAGGGTTGGACCGCAGCTCGGGGTACCTCACATCGGGGTTTCAACTGTTAGAGCTTGGGGGGCAGTGACCAAAGGCAAGCTCCTGAGATCTAGCCAGTAGAGTGGACAGCAACTTTTTTCAACAGTATAGGGTGGATGCTGTGCCAAGCACTTTTCACATGGGTTGGCGCATTTAACCCAGAGGCTGGAATCTTCTCTTCACACACAAGGAGATCAGAAAATAGTAGGAATCCATGAGTTACTGAAATCAAAGGACTCTGGGTAATAGTTTGAACCGCCAGCCAAAATTGTGTCAGTAGGTAAGGCAGGACTTCCTGTTGGAGTGAACAAAACTTCCTGTGGTGCAGGCTGAATTTCCTATATTGAAGATGGGAATTTCTAAGCTCCTGACAGATTTCAACTTGTGATGCTGATAAAGTTTTCAAAATGTTCCATTGTTGGGACTGGAGAGATTATGGGGTGTAAACAGCACTTTCTCATGGGAAAGAATTTCCTCCAGGAAGGGTGGGATTTCTTGGATTGAAATTTGTGTCTAAAACAACTAGGTGATTGTCCACAGAGGCCATTGTAATTGTAGAGAATCACAAGGGGCCTCTTAAGGAAGTTGGAAGAACTTCCTGTAGCAGAGTGGGACTTCCTTTGGGAGGAGTGGGATTGCCTATGGGGATGAGAGAGACTTCCTGTGTCAGAAGTAGTACTTCCTGTTAGTAACTTCCACTGTCTGGAGGTGAAAGTTTACAGAAAGGTGAGCCTAGTTGTGGAATGCCAGGTGGCTATGTTAAGTGGACCTGGTTTCGTGTGGGAAGAGAACTTATAAGTGATGTGAAGGGCCTGGAGAAAAGGCTCAGCAGTTAAGAGCACTGGCTACTCTTACAGAGAACCAGAGTTCTGTTCCTAGCACCCACATGGTGGCTCACAACCATCTGTAACTTCATTTCTAGGGGATCTGATGCTCCTTTCTGGCTTCTGAGGGTACCACATGCATGTGGCACACATACATATGTACAGACAAACATGGAAAACAAGAATCTTTTTTTCTTAAGTGGTCTGGGCTGGGCGTGGTGGTGCACACTTTGAATCCCAGCAATCCAGAAGTAGAGGCAAGTGGACCTCTGTGGAGATCAAGACCAGCTTGGTCTCCATAGTGAGTTCCAGGCCATCTAGGGCTACAAGGAGATGTTGTTCCAAAAAGACAAAAAAAAAAATTTTTTTTAAGTGGGCTAGAGAGATAGTAAATGGTTAGCACACACTGCTTTTCCAGAGGACCTGAATTTGATTCCCAGTACCCACAGCTGGCAGCTCATAACCACCTTTACCTCCAGTTCCAGGGGATCTAACACCTGGCCTCCATGGGCACCTACACTGTCATGCACATACACAGGTGCACAAATACACACAGTTAAAATAAATCTTTAAAAAAAGAATATTTTTAAGAAAAGAGTGAATGCTGTGTGTGGTGGTCCACACCTTTAATCCCAGCACTCAGGAGGCAGAGGCAGGTGGAGCTCTGTGAGATTGAGGCCAGGCTGGTCTACATAGTTAAGTTCTAAGCCAGCTGGAACTACAGGGAAACCCTGTCTCAAAAAGAACCCCCTCCCCCCAAAAAAAAAGTGACATGAGGGTTCCTAGGCACAGGGGAGAGGCTTGTAGTCCTCCAAGCCATATGCTCACCTGTACTCCATCCTGGGCAAAGAAGGCACGGGCATCGGCCTGCATGGCAAGCTGGAGGCAGGTGGCCTCTCCCCAGAGGGGACAGCGTCGGAGAAGCAGGCGCACTGCCCGTTCCTCATTGTTATGGTAGCACTCTCCAAAGAGGTCTGGGGGACAAGAGCCCGGTGAGGGCAGAGGAAGGACTGAGGAGACACCTATGCCCACCCACTGTGGCTTAGTCCTGCCCCACACACCCACAGCCATGCTCTCAAACTTGGTGGCCAGGTCCTTCCGCCTCGCTGCCTCTTCAGCCTCCCACTCCAGGCGTGCCATGACTCGAAGCAGGAGACAGGCCCAGAGAGCTGAGGCCACTGAGTTGGAGCCCTGGAGAGACAGAGAAGAGAAGATGTGGATGGGGTCAGAGCTTGGGGTGAGGTTCAGGAGGAGCAGAGAAATCCTGAAAGGTGCAAAGTTAACTGGGTCATTAGAAGCCAAGGATTAAGCAATGCGTCACCCAGACAAATACTGCCATTAAATGAGGTTACCGGGCATGGCTGTGCACACCGTAATCCCAACATGGGAGAGGCAGACAGATCTCTTTGAGTGCCAGGCTTGCCTGGGTTTACATAGTGAGAATGAATGAATAAATAAATAAATAAATAAATAAATAAATAAATAAATAAATAAATAAAAATAAATGATTGGAGCGATAGCTCAGAGGTTAAGAACACTGGCTGCTCTTGCAGAAGACTTGGATCCAAGTCCCAGCACCCACATGGTGGCCAATAATCATTCACAACGCCAGTTCCAGAGGATCCAATGCTCTTTCTGACCTCCGAGGGCATTACACAACAAAGGTGCGCTTACATACATACAGGCAAAACACTCACACACACACAAAAAAAATGATAAATAAAATATTTTTAAACTTTTCTTTTTTTTCATTTTATGTGTATGCGTGTGTTGCCTGCATGTAGGTAAGTGCACCTGTGTTGTACAATGCCCTTGGAGGTCAGAAGAGGCTGTCAGATCCCCTGGAACTGGCGTTACGGACAGTTGTTAGCTGCCATGTGGGTGCTGGGATTCAAACCCAGGTCTTCTGCAAGAACAACCAGTGTTCTTAACCTCTGAGCCATCTCTCCAGCCCCTAAATAAAATATTTTTTTTTAAATGAGGTCACTGGGCGTGTCTGTACACACCTTTAACCCCAGCATTGGAGAGACAGATGGATCTCTGAGTGCCAGGCCTGCCTGGGTCTACATAGTGAAACCCTCTAAATGAATGAATGAATGAACGAATGAATGAATAAATAAATAATAAATAAATAAATAAAAGTTACTAGGGCCATACCCAAATGTAAAATAGCCAGTGGGAGCTGGTAGCTGAGAGGAGTGAGGGGCTATTTTCATGGGCACTGAGTTCAGTCTGGGAACAAATTCTGGAATGGATAATGATGGTTTCACACAATGTCAACACTACTCAACAGGGTGCTTACAAAAGTTCAGAGTCAGTGGGCCTGCAGAGATGGCTCAGTGGTTAAGAGCACGGGCTGCTCTTGCAGAGGACCCAGGTTGGATTCCTGGTACCACATGGCAGTTAACAATCATCTGTAACTATAGTTCCAGGGGATCTGACACCCTCTTCTGCTCTCCGTGGGCACTGCATGACATGGGTGCACTTACATCATGCAGGCAATACACTCATACACATAAAATAATAAGTAAATAAATAAATATATTCTAAAAGTTCAGAGTCAGGCATGGTGTCACATGCCCATCATCCCAGCATTCATGAGACTGAGGCAAGAGGATCACAGGGTCCAGGCCAACCTGGGTTACATAGGGAGACGTAGCAGCATGATAGAACACTTGTCCAGCATGTGCAAAGCCCTGGGGTCCATCCCCAGCACTGAAAATGAAGTAAAAAGTGTGTGCATGATACGGAAATAGAGAACAAAGCAGTGGGTGTACAAGAGACAGACCAGAGCTCATGGTGGTACACAGCCATTATCCCAGAACCTGGGAGATAGAGCTGGAGATCGGAGTTCAGGCTTGGCTTGGGATAGGGAAATCCTTACTCAGCAAAACAAAACTAGGGACTGGGTTGTGTCTCAGTTGGAGGAGTGCTGGTCTAGCATGCACAAAGTCCTGGGTTTGGTTCCCTGCACCACATGATCCAGGGATAGTGGCACATGTTCAAGATCATCTTGGGCTAATATCAAGTTCAAGGCTAGCCTGGGTTATCTGCCTCAAACCAAACAACAAAAACCAAAGAAAAACAAAACACAAGAGACTGAGTACATGTTGAGTGACAGGTCTGACACCCCACAGGGAGTCTTGGTGTCACTAAGCACAGAGGGTACAGATAAGGACAACAGCATTCCAGGTGGGGGCCAGCGCTCACCTTCTCCCAGAAGTACATGGCCATCTGGGCTCGGTTCAGCAGCAAAGCCCAAATGAGAAGGTCACTCCAAGGTGCCTGCCCAAAGCTGGCATCCATTGTTGGTTGCATGGTGGCCCAGTCAGAGAGCAGACAGGCCTGCAGGGAAAGAGAGGTGTGGCAAGAGCTGGCCCCACCCCCTGGACTTCACCACACCCTCTGGAGCCCTGTCCAGACCCCATAGGCAACACTCTTCCCAAGCCCCACCCTCTCCCAGATGTTGCACCCACAATGCGCCCTCAGCCTCTATGGTCCTTACACTCTCCCTGCAGTCCTGCCCTAAGTGCGGGTCTTGAGCAGCCATGGCAGGGAACCTCGGTGCACATGTCTCCCCCAACAGTGTTCTCAGAACTTGCCCCACTTTAGGCCGTCGGAGCTCTACAGGCCCATCTTTTACAGGTGGTAGTTTGGTGCCCCCGCCATGGGATGCCTGATCCAGAAGACTGCGGATGAGTGAGTTGGGAGGCACTGCACTGTACAGCTGAGCCAGCCGCATGGGGGTCAGGAAGTGGCCCAGGCTGAGGCCATGGGAGATGAGCAAACGCACAAACTCAGGCCGGTCATTCAGCAGAGCATCCATGAGGGAGGCCTCCAGGTGGAAGGACTGTGTGGGAGAGAGGGATGAGACAGAGATGAGCAGAGAAGAGAGGCCAGGTGAGCTCAGAGGCTGAGGACAGAGACAGGTACAGAGCCACAGGTGATGTGTGGATGGGGAGGTGGATGAAGGGAGGGAGAGAGGGTTGGGTTGGTGAGTGGGTTGGTAGGTGGATGTGTATATGGATGGGTATGTAAACTGGTGGGTAGAGAGATGAGTAAACAAAGTGATTGGTAGGTGGATGAATGGCTAGATGGTTGGCAAATGGATGAAGGGATTGGTGGATGATGGATGAATGGGTGGATGAATGGATGGGTGGGTGGATGGATAGATGGATGGGTGAGTGGGTGGGTGGATGTGTGGATGGATGTATGAATGAATGGGTGGATGGATGGATGGGTGGGTGGGTGGATGGATGGATGGATGGATGGGTGGATGGGTGGATGGATGGATGGATGGATGGGTGGGTGGGTGGATGGATGGGTGGGTGGGTGGATGGATGAATTGATGGATGGATGGATGAATGGATGGATGGATGGATGGATGGGTGGGTGGATGGATGGGTGGGTGGGTGGATGGATGGATGGATGGATGTGTGGGTGGATAGACAGATGGATGGGGGATGGTTATGGGATGGACAGAGGAATAGATGGATGGGTGGATAAATGGGTGGGTAGAAAGGGAGACAAGGAAGAACTCGGGGACAAATGAACAACCAGAAATGGGTGAACAATGAAGGAAGGGAGGGAAGGCTATAACAACAATGAAGGGACAGGACCAAGTGTCTGAGAACTCAGTGCACCCCTGCTGCAGAACCTTCAGTCCCCAGGTCCTGACCCCTCACCCGCCATTGTATGTCCCCACGGAAGAGTTCACTTTGGGCAATGTCCACACGGTTCCAAGCCACAGCCAAACGCAACTCGTCCAGGTAAGCTGAGGCCTCAGAGCTACCACAGGCTGGAAAAATGAGAGGGAGAGGTCAGGTCAGGGAGAGGGTGGGGACATCAGGCAAATGTCCATTTTGGTGTCTCCTTATCTACCAAATTGGAGTTACAGTGTCTCTCTTGACAGCATTGTTGTCAACAGTAATCACAGAAAAAAATTCCAAACTGTGACCATCCTCTGCTTGTCCTATGTGCCCTCTAAGGTTGATAACTGGACGAACAGAGCTCCAGAAAGGGACAGTGACATGCCCAGGACCACACAGCTTCCTATTTCCTCTTGAAAAACAAAAGTCTATCGAAAGTGGAACTTATTACCATGCTATGTATCGCCCATACTTTCCCAAAAGTCATCAAGAAGAAGAAAGCAAATGGTTGGTAAGGTCTTACTTATCCGTAGTTGGATGGATGAAGGGATGGGTGGATGGGTGGAGAATGAATGGGCAGGTGGATTGGTGGGTGAAGGATGGATGGTTTGATGAATGGTTCAAAGGATGGATCTGTGGATGAAGGAATTGGTGGATGGATAGTTGGCTGGAAGTAATGGTGAGTGGATGGATGCACGGGGGTAGAAAGATGAGTAAATGGGTGGGTGAATGGATTGGTGGGTAGATGGATGGATGGGTAGGTGGTTTGGTAGATGTATGTATGTATGTTTGTATGTGTGGGTGGATAGGTTGGAGGGTGGATGAATGGGCAGGTTAATTGATGAGTAGATGGATGGGAAAATGGGTAGGTAGATTGGTGGGTGGTGGGTGGATAGATGGATGGGTGGACTGGTGGGTGGGTGGGTAGATATGTGATGGTGGGTGCACTGGTGGGTGGATGGATTGGTGGGTGAATGACTGTCCTGTGGAAGAGTTCACTGTGCCTTAATTTGGCATCACTTACCCTGAGGGCCCCCTGCCCCACCTTCATGCTCACCCTCTCATCCTCCATCGGGTCACCCTACTTGGTGAGGCAGACACCCAGGAGCTTTCCCCTCATCACCCCCCACACACAAGCCCATCAGTCCCAGAGCCTCTGTGCCAAACTTCCTGTGCTGGTTAGTTTTGTCTCTTGACACAAAATAGAGACTCCAGGGAAGATGGACCCTCGGTTGAGGAATTTCCTCCATCCAGCTGTCCTGTGGCCAAGTCTGTGAGGCATTTTCTATTTTTGAGACAGTGTCTCATTTTGTAGCCCTGGCTGGCCTGGAACTCTCCATGTAGACATGTAGATCAGGCTGGCTCCAAACTCACAAGCAATTATGAAGCATTTTCTTCATTGGCAATCGATACAGGATGGCCGTCCCACTGTGGGCAGTGCCATAGCTGGGCAGGTGGGCCTGGGCTATATAAGAAAGGTAACTGAGCACGTCAGGGGTGCAAGCCTGTAAGCAGCATTCTCCATAGTCTCTGCTTCAGTTCCTGCCTCGAGCTCCTTCCTGCCCTGAGGTCCCTCAGTGACGGATTATCGCTTGGAAATGTAAGCTAAATAAAGTGTTCCCTCCTCAAGTTGCTTTTGGTCAGGGTGCTATATCAGAGCAGTAGAGGGCAAACCCAAACACTTCCCATCCAGTTCCTGTGGCGTCAGCACAGGTCGTGTGCCCCCCACCCCAGTGTCTGCAGTCTTCCTTCAGGGGCTCATCTCTCCTGGTTCTCTCTCTACACAGACTGGCCCTGGTGCCCCTACCTCTCAGGGCAGAGTCCTCAAGGGGTGGGGCCGGAACCTCCTGCTGGTCTCAACTCCATCACTCTCTCCCCATCACGCTACAAGTCATGAAGCCTTTTGTGTCTCCCCAGACACCCCATGCCAGAGACTGCGTCAAACAGACCTGACTCCTCAGTCCCAGAAAGCCAGCAGCTGGGTAACTAGTGCAAATCACTTTCCTCCCTCTGAGCCTCAGTTCCTTCATCTGCCAAATGGGACAGTTAATCCTGACAGAGACAGAGGAAGGATTAGAGCTCTTATCCCCTTCTTCCTCACTGAAACTCCATTCACTCTATGCCATAGTCTGCAGGACTGAGCTTCCAGGTCCAGTGCCCTGCTGGAGTGGTCACTTCCACCTCTGCAGCCAGCTGGGATACAGCCCACACCCGACAACACATCTCACATAATGGCTGGGACTTTCTTCCAGGAGGCCATCAGGTGAACTTCTGAAAAGGGAACCAGGTTTGCCAGAGACTTTTGTCCTACATTCTAGCATATGGGAAAGGGGATCCTACTAAGAACCCCTTTTGGGCTGAGGTGTGGCTCAGCAGTAGAGCCCCTGCCTAGAATCCCCAGTGAGGGGCTGGGGTGTGGCTCAGTGGTAGAGCCCCTGCCTAGAATCCCCCAGTGAGGGGTGGGGTGTGCTCAGTGGTAGAGAGTTTATCTACCATGTGAAGGCTTTGGGGTCCATCTCAGCACTACAAAACAAAACCACAAAAAGGGTCTAAACAACTCTAGTAGTATGAAAAGGGTTCTTTGAGAGTAAAAGCCTTGGATATAGTTTGTTGAATAAATAAATGATTCCCATCCCCAACCTCTATCAGGCAGTCGTGATGCTTCCTGCCTGGGTTTCAACATTCAGTTCTCTAAGCTGTGAGGTCTAGTGAAATATCAGGAGTTCCTCACTGGATGACAGTGCTTTGATTCACATTCAGCCACAGTGCTTAATGCATATTGATGGCAGGCAGAAAACGAAGGTCCAAGAGATGGAGAGGCTGTCGAATGGATGGATGGAAAGAAGAATCAGTGGATAGAATTGTTAGTGGATGTGTGAATGAAGAGTTAAAGGGACTGGTGGATAGAAAGATGGATGGATGGACAGGTCAGTGGGTGGGTGGATGATGGATGAATGGGTAATTGGGTGGATGGATGGGTGGGTGGATGAATAAATGTGTGGATGGACAGATCGATGGATGGATAAGTAGGTAGATGGATAGATGAGTGGGTGGGTGGATGGATAAGTGGGTAGAAAGATGAATGGATGGATAGGTGGGTGCACGGGGAGATGGATGAAAGGATGAAAAGACAGGTGGATGCATGGGAGGATAGATTGGAGGATGGGTGGGTGGGTAAGTGGGTAGATGGACTAATGGATGGATGGACAGCTGAGTGGGTGGGTGGATGATGGATGGATGGATAAGAGGATGCATAGATAGATGAATGGAAGGATGAGTAAATGGGTGGACGGATTGACGGAAGGATGAATGGATGGATAGTTGAATGGGTTGGATGGCTGATGGATGGATGGCTGAATGGATGGATAGATAAGTGGATGCATGGGTAGACGGATGACATATAAGGGAATGGGGGGATGGCAGGGTGGTTGGATGGATAAGTGGGTGGGTGGATAGGTGAATGGATAGGCAGATGGGTGGGTGGATGATAGATGGCTACATGGATGGGTAGATGAGTGAGTAGATGGATGGATGGACATAGATGGTGGTTGGATGGATGATGGATGGTGGATGGGTGGATAGATGGATAAGTGGGGGTAGGTGGAAGAATGGATGGATAGGTGCATTGGTGGGTACATAGACGGAAGGCTGGGTGGATGGGTGGGTACATGGACAGAAGGCTGGATGGATGGACAGGCAGATGGACAAACAGATGGCAGAACAAAGGACGGACGGAATTATGCATCGATGAAGCACGGGGAGGCTAATGGACATGTGGATGGACAGATGGGGAAAGAGGGAAATGTTCAAAACACAATGGAGGTTTCTGGGGAAAGCTGTCTGACAGCACCGTGCAGAACCCTAAGAAACAGGGAAAAGATCTAGGAAAGAAAAGGGGTGGCCTCAGAGGAAGGAGGGGGAGAGAGGGCCAAGCCAGGTGCCTGAGGCTGAGGAGGGTGGACCGCAGAGACCCGCCCTACCGTTCACCAGGGCCCGCAGAACGATGGTCTCAAACTCCTCGGAGCCATCTTCTGATGAATAGACGGTCAGCAGCTCCTTCCGCGTCATGATCCGCTCCACCTGCAGAACCCAGAGCTCAGTCGCCAGCTCCAGGCCCCTCCCACCTCAGGCCCACAAGACCATACCTGGGCCTGCAGGATCTCAGGGTCTCCCTTGGGGAAGTAACGTCTAATCCGATCTCTGGCTTCACCTCGCCTGAGTCCCCCACTCCCAGGGGCCAATGTGTCTTCCAGGGTCTCCACCAGGCAGTCCGCAGCACCCCCAGAGCCAGCCACCAAGAGGCAGGGAAGCTGAGCCTGGGTGGCATCCTCTATCCGCTGCCAATCAAGAGGAGAGCCGGTCAAGGTCCAGCCCTCCAGTCCCCACATCCCTCCTGGCTCTCAGCTCTCCTACTTCAGACACAAGCACGTAGCCCAGGTACCTTCAACATCTTCTGGTCACCATCGATCAGGAGGAGGAGGACAGGGATGTCAATTCCAGTCCCTGAAAGAAGGGGGGGGGGGCTTGGTCACCTCCCATCAGCCTTTGCTGGGGATCAGACAGGACTATATTTCCCAGGAATCCCTGGGGCAAACACTGACCTTGTCCCAACCCTGTGGCTTAGGCTCATAGGAATTGTCATTCTTTTTTTAGTCAGTAATTTATTTATTTAGGCCGGGCGTGGTGGCACATGCTTTTAATCCCAGGACTCGGGAGGTAGAGGCAGGCGGATCTCTGTGAGTTCGAGGTCAGCCTGGTCTCCATAGCGAATCCAGGTCACCTGTGGCTACAGGGAGACCCTGTCTCAAAAAGACCAAAAAAAAAAAAAAGTAATAATATAATAATAATAATAATAATAATAATAATAATAATAATAAAATGTATTTATTTATTTAGGAGCTAGAGCCAGTTAAGAGCACTGGTTGTTCATGCAAAGAACCTGGGTTCCAGTTCCCAGGACCTACAAGGCAGCTAACAACCATCTGTAACTCCAATTACAATTAAATACCTTCTTCTGGCTGTTAATTGCATGCTTGTGGTACACATACATGCAGCCAAACCCTCATACACATAAAATGAAAACAAATAGATGGTAGATAGATAGATAGATAGATAGATAGATAGATAGATAGATAGACAGACAGATAAATAGAGGTTTTTGTATTTTTTTTTGTCTTTTTGAGACAGGGTCTTCCTAAAGTCCCAGCTGGCCTGGAACTTCCTATGTAGACCAGGCTGGCGTCAAACCCACCTGCCTCTGCCTCCCAAGTGCTGAGATTAAAGGCATGCACCACCACGCCCAGCACAAACACACACACACACACACACACACACACACACACACAGGGAACTATTTTATTATATTTATTTTTATGTGTATGGGTGTATTGCCTGCATGTGTGTAAGTGCATCCGTGTCATGCAATGCCTACAGAGGTCAGGAGAGAGTGCTGGCTTCCCCTGGAACTGGAGTTACCACCATATGGATGCTGAGCCATCTCTCCAGGCCCAAATCTTTATATTTTTTAAGATAGTATTTGGGGGCCTGTGCTCAGGAGCATGTGGAGATCAGAGGACAATTTGTGGGGGTCGGTTCTCTCTGGCTGCCTTGTGGATCCTGGAGATCAAACTCAGGTCATCAAGCTTGGCAGCAAGTGTCTACTTCTGTACCATCATTTCTAGTATAGGAATTATTATTGTTTGTCATCTTTGGGAAGGGAACCAGATTTTATGGGTTTTATTATTAATGTGTGTGTGGTGTCCATCTGTGTGCATGAACATGTGTGTCAGTGTGTGTGAGAGTGCAGGTGTGCACATGTCACAGTGTGTGGTCAGAGGACAAACCCAGGTGTTGTTCCTCACCTTTGATCTTGTTTTGAGGCAGTGTCTCTTGTTATACACCACTGCATACACCTGGCTCGCTAGCTTCCCGGCAGTCTGTCTCTACTTCCTGCCTTACCGTGGGCATGCTGGGATTACAGATGTACACTGCTGCATCCAGCTTTATGTGGCTTCTGGGAATCCAAACTTAGGTCCTTACACGTGTAAGGCAAAAACACCTTATCCACTGAGCCCTTGGTTTGTTCCTTTGAGACAGAGTTTCATGTCGCCCAGGCTGGCCTCAAACTCATTATGTAGCCAAGGATGACCTAGAGTTTCTGATCCTCCCTGCCTCTACCTCTCGAGTGCTGGGATGACAGGTGTGCACCACCACAATGGGCTTGGAGGCCAGATGTGAATTAAGGTTGGCACTGTCTAACATCTAGAGAGAAAGGAGGACTTAGGACACAGGCTCTTGAATGACTCTGCTGATTCAACCCTGAGAGGTGAAAGTTCAAGTAGAAAATGAAGGAACTACAAATAGATAAATAATCCAAGCACCATAAAAATAACAAAGTCCAATAATAAAATCATATAAGATTATCGTATGTTAATTATATTCCCACTAAAATAATAAACTACACTTCATGACCAGTCTCCCCACCTAGCCTGGAACTCTGAGCTAAGGTGGTAACACACAAAAAAGAAATGTTAGAATTAAAATGGGTGTTTTCTTTTTCTGCTGTTGTCGGTTTGGGTTTGGGGGGACAGAACCTCACTCGGTAACCTAGGCTGGCCGTGAACTCACTCTGTGCCTGGCTGACCTTGGCTTCATTATCTTCCTGCCTCAGCCTCCCAAGTGCCGGGATCACAGTTATAAGCCACCACATCTGGCTAAAAGTGGTGTTTCTTTTTTTTAATTAAGTATTTTTCCTGTGTGTGTGCACATATGTGTGAGTGCATGTGTACCACAATGCATGTGTGGAGGTCAGAGGACAACTTGTGGAAGTTCCACCATGTGGGTCCTGGGAACTGAACTCAAGTCGTCCAGCTTAGCAGTAAGCGTTTTACCTGCTGCAATATCTCGCCCACCCGACACACCTATTTCTAATGAGGGTGAAAACTGCTACAAAGTTCTACAAAGTTATCCAGTCCTGCCTGTAAAGTCCAATGTCAGGTGAGAACTACAGAGCTTACATCTATACACTAGGACACAGATGTGCTCAGAGCTTACATCTGTACACTAGGACACAGATGTGCTCAGAGCTTACATCTGTACACTAGGACACAGATGTGCTCAGAGCTTACATCTGTACACTAGGACACAGATGTGCTCAGCATTGTTTCTAGTACCAAACATTACAAAACCCCTAACATGTGTCAGCTGAGAAACTTTTAGATGAGATGTTGCACCTTTAGTAAAGGACACAGAAGAACCAAGAAAGCCAGGGGTGTAGCTCAGTGTCAGGCATGCGCCTAGTGTGCTCAGAGCACTGGGAGCAGCGGCAGAGAAAAGATGTAGGATGAGGAGGAGAAGGAGGGGGAGGAGGGAGAAGAGGGGGAGGAGGAGGAAGCAAGAGAGAAATTTGTACCTAAAGGATATTCATGAGAAAAATGTAATAGATTATATATAATACACACACACACAAAGGAGAAAGAAATACCGTATAGAGTCAGTTATAGTGACTCACACCTGAAATTCTAACCCTTGGAAGGCTGAGGCAGCAGGATTGCTGTGAAGAATGAATGGATGAATAAATAAATAAATGAGGGAGGGAGGGAAAGAGGGAAGGAAGAAAGAAAGGGGTTGGAGAAATGGCTCAGTGGTTAAGAGCATTGGCTGCTCTTGCAGAGGACCTGGGTTCGAATCCCAGCACCCACATGGCGGCTAACAACCTGTCTAACTCCAATTCTAGGGCCTCCGACACCCTCTTCTGACCTCTGTGGGCATTGCAAGACATTACCTACACTCAGCAAAATAAAAATAAAAGTTTTTAAAAAGAAAGAAGAAAACTAAAAGAAAGAGAAACAGAAAGGAGAGAGACCATATATGTGGAAATACGAAAGCACAGAATTTCATCACATGGATCTGTGAAAGGCTAAACTCCCAAGTCTTCAAATATGATAACCCAGGAGGGAGGAGGGCGGAACTGGGCAAGAAAGATAACGTCTTTACAACCCTTTTTATGACTTGAGCTGTTAAGTTGAACACACACTGAATGAGCCATAAAACCTTCTACTCTGTGAAGAAAATCTGTCTCCAAGGCCACAGGCTTCACTACAGTTGAGGAACCCATCCACAATGCTTAAACACAAAACATCTCTATCTGTTACCCCTGTGCTCAACAGCTGTCAGAGTTGGGAACATTTTTATTTCTGATTTTTTTCTGCTTAGGGGTGGGTGCTCAACAGGTAAAATCCATACAGAGATTCCAAAATCGGAAAACCTCTAAAGTTGGAAATATTTCTAGTCCTAGGCATTTTGAATCAGGGAGCTTCAAACTGTATTCCGTGTAGCCAACCTCCACACAAACACAAGACTACAGCAATGAACAGACTGTAGTTGTCAGGGGTTAGAGACAGGGTGGAACTGAACTGGAAGGTTCTGGGACTTATAACATGCTGTTCTTGAAGTCTAGTTGCTGGTTACGTGAGTGATTTCAGAGTTAAAAACCCACCAACATGTTTACTTTGTGTGTTTTTCTGTATGCAAGGGGGATTTTTTGAGATAATCTTCCCTCCTTTCTGTTTTTACAATTTTCTTTTTTCTTTTATTTATTTATTATTTTTACTTTATGTGTATGAGTGTATTGCCTGCATGTATGTAAGTGCACCCATGTCGTGCAATGCCAGTGGAGGACAGAGGAGGGTGTCAGATCCCCCAGAACTGGAGTTATAGAAGGTTGTTAGCTACCATGTGGGTTCTGGGAATTGAACCCAGGTCTTTTGCAAAAGCAGCCAGTGCTCCTAACCATTGAGCCATCTCTCCAACTCTTATTTTTATTTTTTTTTATTATGTGAATATGTGTCTCCATGTGGGTATGTGCACGTGAGTGCAGTGCCCACAGAGGACAGAAGAGGATGTCAGGTCCCCTGGAGCAGGAGTTACAGGCAGTTGTGAGCTGCCTGACGTGGGTGCTGGGAACTGAATCTTACCCTTTGCAAGAGCAGCAAGGGCTCTTAACTACTGAGCCATCTCTCAAGTCTCTCCCTTCTGTTTTTTTGACATATGGGTTGATGTAGCCCAGGCTAGCCTCAAACCCCTTTGCAGCTAAGGATGACCTTAAACTCCTGATCCTCCTGCTCCTCCCAAGTACTGGGATTACAGGCCTACATTACCACACCTCGCAAGATGCTTCAAAAAATGGACAAGACTCTGGACTACAGGGAAGTTCCCACATTTTGATGGCAGCAGGTCACTGGGGTCCTGTGTGCTGGCCCATGGGCACAAGTCTTGCTCACCTCCCACTCCAGTCTTCTGCTGAGCCACATAGGACTCAAACCGCAGGCGGAATCGGTTCTCACCACCCAGGCGGCCATGCGTGCCGTCATCCACCAAGAAGAACGCAGAGTAGTTGTAGTCTAAGGGGAACTCCATTCCATCTTCAGGGTCACCTCGCCACCGGTACCTTGCAGGGAACGAGCCCTGGGACAAGGCCAGATAAAAGAGTCCTTCAGGAAGGACAAGATGCTCCTCCCTCAGATGCAGAGGACCAAACCCTGACATCTTCCCTCAGACCCAGGAGTCCAGATCCCAGCCTCCTCCCTCAGACCCAGGGGTTCAGACCCCAGCCTTCCTCCCTCAGACCCAGGAGTCCTCCCCAGCCTTCCTCCCTCAGACCCAGGAGTTCAGACCCTAGCCTTCCTCCCTCATGCCCAAGAGTCCTCCCCAGCCTTCCTCCCTCAGACCCAGGAGTCCTCCCCAGCCTTCCTCCCTCAGACCCAGGAGTTCAGACCCCAACCTTCCTCCCTCAGACCCAGGAGTCCTCCCCAGCCTTCCTCCCTCAGACCAGCACTCAAGGCCCAGTCCCTTCTCTGAGCCCCATTCCCACCTTGGGGTTGATCAGCATGTTTCTGTTCCGGACCACACCCCAGGGAGCCACACCCATGGCCACGACCTTGTTGCCCCCAGTGTTGGCCATCTGGTGGTCTCGCACCGCCACACCCACATGCCGGCCAATGCCTGTGTGCAGGCCCCCTGTGACGATCCAGGCACCTGTGCAGGACAGAGAGGGGAGGGATGGGAGGGGCAGTGAGACAAAGACGTGGGAATGATTGTAGTGCCCACCAGCTGGGGGGCAGCAGGGTTGCGGCCCAGGAGACACAGGCCCTGCCCTCTGAGGTCACCTGTGCTCTGGGCAGCACGCACCAGCCCACGACGCAGAAGGTCCTGCAGCCAGGTCTGGAGCACCGGGCCCCCCGACCCCCCAAGCACCGACACCACGAGGTTTGGGGCACGAAAGCCCCAAGAGCGGGTGATGAGACTGTACACGGTGGCCGGATCTGTGCGGTCAGAGAGCCGGAGGAACTGTGGACACAGGAGGAGGGGACATGTGGGGAACAGAGAGACAGAGACAGAGGGGGACAGACAGATGAGGACAGAGAGAGACACACAGAGAGACTCTCAGGGGGACAGACCCAGACAGATGAGAGAGAGAGAGAGAGAGAATTCTCAGGGGGTCAGACCCAGACAGATAAGGATAGAAAGAGAGACAGACAGATAGACAGACAGAGACAGAGAGACAGAGAGAGAAAGACACTCAGGGGGAGAGAGACAGAGAGAGATAGAGAGAGAGAGAGAGAGAGATTCTCAGGGGGTCAGACCCAGACAGATAAGGATAGAAAGAGAGACAGACAGATAGACAGACAGAGACAGAGAGAGAGAGAGAGAGAGACAGAGACAGAGAGACAGAGACAGAGATTTTAAAGAGAGAGAGAGAGAGAGAGAGAGAGAGAGAGAGAGAGAGAGAAAAAACTCAGAAATAAAGGGAAACAAAGACCCAGAGACGGAGACTCAGACAGAGACCCACAAAGAGACAGAGACCCAGAAATTGGAGGGGGGGCAGAGACTGAGACCCAGAGACAGAGACTGTGCGGGCCAGTGGGGAGACACGTTGGGCCATTGCCCTGCCCAACCCAGCCTGGGCACCCAGACAGGCAGGCCTCACGTTGCTGGGCTTGCGGCCAGAGCCCATGAAGTCCAGGTCGCCATAGGCATCGGTGGGCTTCTCTGTGGTATGCTCATCACTGTTCCACTCGGTCACCACAGCTGCCCCGAAGGCATCCTCCACAGCCACGGACGGGTGGGCATTTCGCGGTCGTCCACACTGGCACAAGGTCCCTCTGGGGGTGCAAGGGTAGAGAGTGAGCTTGGACATCCCCACCAACCACATCCTATACAAATGTCCATATCCTGTTTGCATGGACCCAGAGTCCACACTGAACCCAGCACTGGCTTTGACTGTTGGAGGGAGAAACTGAGGGACAGGCCCTACAACTATCTTTACCCCAAGTTAGCTGAAGACTGAGAGATTGGCCCACAGGGTCAGATGGGGAAACTCAGGTGGCCATCAGTAGTGTCCTTGCTGTTCAAATATAGTGTCCTGAGTCCAAACAGATAACATCCACAGGAAAAGGAAAATTCAAAACAACAGAAAAAATTGCTCTTAGAGAAAAGTGATTCAGAGAGTTTATGTATCAGAGGCTGAGGCAGATGTGTGATTTGGGGCAAATGTCTTCACCCCTCTGAGCCTACATTTCCTCCTCCAATACAAAGACAATTTATAGCACCTCGGAAAGGGGGGAGCCAAGAAAATCATGTAGTGTTTCCTGAAGCGAGGATGGCAACCAGCCCCAGCTGAAGATGGCTGCGTGAACTTCACACAGAGCTTTAAATATCCTTGAATAACACAGTGATAAAGTCATTCCTTTTTCAGGGTCCCCCACAGCCGGCAAGGAGGGGCTTGCCAGGCGCCTGCCTGTGTCCCAGCCTCTGCCCTTCCGCTCCCCTTCCTCTCCTAGAGAAAGCCAGGTGCTGGGGCCTGAGCCCCGTACCAACTAGAAGGTAAAACAGCTCTACCTGATGTCCACTGCATTGGGCCTTTGTGAGGAAAGAAGAGGGTTTCCGTTTCTGGACTCCATAGGCACAGCGTTTGTCTCCCTAAATAAATGTACGCTGAACTGGAACGTGGTCAAGAGCACTGGCTGCGCTTGCAGAGGACCTGGTTTGAGTTCCCAGCACCCACATCAGGTGGCTCACAACCACCTGTAACTCCAGCTCCAGGGGAACCAACACCCTCTTTTGGCTTCAAAGGGCACCTGCATGCACATGGTGTATACACACACACACACACACATACACACACACAGAGATAGAAATATACACAATTAAAAATAAAACAAATAAGGGCTGGCGAGATAGTTCAGTGTTTTAAAGCACTTACTGCTCTTGCAGAGGACCGGAGTTCAGTTCCCAATACCCACATGTGTGTTTACAACCGCCTGTAACTCCAGCTCCAGAGGATTGAAACCCTCTTCTGGCTTCTGAGGGCTCTGTACTCACACATACACATACCCACATACCCACAGACACACACTAAAAATAAATGTTAAAAATTATAAGTGCGCAAGGCTCCCTTGATGGTCACATGACTGGCACCTCGGTTTTTAAGAGGGAGGGGCAGGGACTCAGGGAATGAGGGGTTCAGTTGAAAATATAATCAAGCCTCCCTGACCCCCCAGTTCCAGAAAGATTTCAGGTTGTAGAGCTCACCAGTAGTTGAGGAATCTGAGTGAGCTAAACCAAGAAAAAGGGTTGTTTTCTTTTGTTTTGGTTTTTTAAAAATTTTATTTATTTATTTTTTTTTTAAATTTTTTTTATTTATTATTTTTTATTTTACGTGTTTGCGTGTATTGCCGGCATGTAGGTAAGTGTACCCATGTTGTGCAATGCCCGCAGAGGTCAGAAGAGGCTGTCGAATCCCCTGGAACTGGAGTTATGGACAGTTGTTAGCTGCCATGTGGGGGCTGGGATTCGAATCCGGGTCTTCTGCAAGAATAGTCAGTATTCTTAACCGCTGAGCCATCTCTCCAGCCCGTTATTTATTATTTTTTATTTTACGTGTTTGCGTGTATTGCCGGCATGTAGGTAAGTGTACCCATGTTGTGCAATGCCCGCAGAGGTCAGAAGAGGCTGTCGAATCCCCTGGAACTGGAGTTATGGACAGTTGTTAGCTGCCGTGTGGGTGCTGGGATCCGAACCCGGGTCTTCCACAAGAACAACCAGTGTTCTTAACCACTGAGTCATCTCTCTAGCCCCTTGTTTTTTTTGTTGTTGTTGTTGTTGTTTTTAATAAGACAAGTTTTTAGTATTTTTGTCACTTTTATTATTGAAATACTGACCAAAACATATCAGTTTATTTAGGTTTTTTTTTTTTGGCCTTTTTGAGACAGGGTCTCCCTGTAGCCCCATCTGGCCTGGAACTCACTATGTAGACCAGGCTGGCCTTGAACTCACAGAGCTCTGCCTGCCTCTGCCTCCCCGAGTGCTGGGATTAGTGCTGGGATTAAAGGCATGTGCCACCACGCCTTGCTCAGTTTATTTAGGTTTTTAGCCACAAAATCTAAAGCTGCCAGTAAGAGCTTCATAAAACAGGTGTTTTGTTTTTGTTTGGTATTTGAGACAGCACCTCTGTAGCCTAGTCTAGCCTCAAACTTGCTATTTAGCTGAGGATGACCTTGAACTCTGATCCTCCGGTCTCCACCCCCCAACTGCTAGAATTACAAGTGTGCCACTACGCCCGCCCAGCCCGAACAACTTTTTGAAGCTGTCTTTAACCTATTGGTTCTAATTAAGGGAATTTGTTGGCCTTGGGCTGGTACTCATTGGTTCACATGGCAAACAGCATTACAACCAAGCACATAGAGAAAACGAACTAGAATTATCATATACAAAAATAAATAAGACCTTGCATGTTCAAGGAGAACAATGCATAATTTTCACAGGCATACCATAGAGCAAGTTACACAGGGACACATACAGATCACAATCCATAGGGAAAATTTTAAATGTGATACACAAGCAAATCAAACTCATAGAAACAAGTAAGTTTTAACCCATCATGCCTTAGTGCCAACTGTGACCCTGTTCCTTACATTGACCTACCTCTGCACAGCCTGACAGCATTAGGCATGCTATGCCCCCTATACATGTACCCTCATAATAGTAAACAAATATCCCATAAATCACACCCCAAATAAAAGCCAGCATCAAGGTAGGCCTGCAACACCACCTACTGTGCTAATATCTAGTGTGTTTCAACCCTTTAGTAAGCCACTTGCAAAATATGCTGACCAACGCTATCACCTTCCTCTTACTGGGGTAGTTCAGTCTCGAAAGGTAACAAATTTGTCTATCCTACTATGGATGGTTATTAAGTCTTGACAACCAAACTCCACAACCCCTGACTTCTCAAACTATCACAATTTGTTCCTTCAGGCGATACCAAACTAATCTAACAATTGCAAAAAAAAAAAAGACACGAATTCACATAAAATAAAAATATTTTTTAAAAACCCAGAGAAGAAACTGTGTCCCAGATACTCTAACAGCCTGAACTTTGCAAGGACAAAAAGCTTCCTTAGCTTGTTAAGCTATAGGCATTTTATAAGATACTCAAGAAATCGGCAGGAACGTTGAGGCAGGGAATCATAAGTTCAAGGTCAACCTGGGCCTCATAATAAAGTCCTATCTCAAAAAGAAGTCATAAACCATTAGGAACATAAAACTGACATCGACTCATTTTCCAGGAGAGTTCTTCCAAAATGCCATGTGCATCGGGCAAGAGAGGGCTGTCTCATTTGCCAGACTGCTCTTAAGGCCGCTTCAGCGGTACAGGGATATTGGCAGATGCCTGCTCCAGGCAGGCCAGGGAGCCCCAGGGGATTTAGGTTGGTTTTTTTTGTGTTGCACATTGATGTCCAACAGCGCCTGCTGCCAATGCCTCAGCTTTGTCAAGTGCTTCTGAACCAGAGCATCTCTCTGCTGCAATTCACTCCTTAGTTCTGAGACATCCTCTTTGATAACCTGCTCTGATTTCTGGACAGACAACTGCGACCTTTTTTTACAAGAAAAAACAGTCTGTCTTGCAATGTCCAAAAACTTGTGGATACACTGATCAACACCAGTACGAATTTATTCCTGATCAGTGCCATTGACATAATCCTGACTTACAAGAGACTCAAAGCCTCTCGTCCACCAACATGCTGTTCCGCGGCCTTGGAGCCCTGGACACCAGCCCGGGAGGCCCTGCGGAGGCGGCTGCCCAGAGAACATTCCTCCCAGAGGTGCTGCTATGTCTAAAAAATGGCCTTGTTTGGGTTTTGTTTTGTTTTGTTTTTTAATTTTATGCCAGAAGTGGTGGCATACCCCTTTAATCCCATCACTCGGGAGGCAGAGGCAGGCAAACTGAATTCAAGGCCAGCTGGGGCTGCAAGGAGATCCTGTCTCAAAAAGACAAAATAATAAAAACTTAAAATTAATAAATGAATGAATTGGGGGGGGTCTCTTTGAGACAGAGTATCCCTGTAGCCCCAGCTGACCTGAACTCACTATGTAGACCAGGCTGGCCTTGAACTCAGAGATCCACCTGCCTTTGCCTCCCAAGTGCTGGGATTAAAGGCGTGCACCACCATGCCCGGCATGAAAAAATTTTTTACTATTTACTATATTTGCTATTTTTTACTTTTTACTATAAGTAAAAAATTGCCTGCATGTAAGTGCACCATGTGCATGCAATGTTCACAGAGGCCAGAAGGCACGGTCGATCCTCTGGGATTAGAGTTACAGATGGTTGTTAGCTGCCATGTGGGTGCTGGGAACCAAACATGGGTCCTCTGCAAGAGCAGCCAGTGCTCTTAACAACTGAGCCAGCTCTCCAGCCCTAGCTTTTGTTTTTTTGAGACCAGGTCTCAGGCTGGCCTTGAACTAGCTATCCAGCCAAGGTGGGTCTCCAGTACCTTTTCTTTTTTATTTATTTATTAATTTTTCTTGCCTTGAACTCCAGAGCTTCTTGCCTCAGCTTCCTCTGGGCTGAAATTACAAGCATGCACCACCCAGGCTTACTTTGGTACTGGGCATGGAACCCAGGACTCTGTGCCTACTTGGCAAAAAGCCCTCTTTTGTTTTTTGAGACAGAGTCTCATGTACCCCAGGTTGGTTTCAAACTCCCTTTGTAGCACAGGCTGGCCTTGAACTCCTGATCCTTCTATCTCCTGAGTGCTGGGATGACAAGTGTGAGCCATTAACACCTGGCATAATGACCAGTTTGACAGAAATGATGATATAAAGGGGTGAAATTACTGGTTCATACACAGGACACACACCCAGACCAGCTCCTAAGGTCTACTGTCTTCCCAGAACTGCAGTAAAGGATACAGTCTTCTTTAATGACAGGGCCCTGATATGCCTCACTTTCCCCACTTTATCCTCTTACCCATCTCAACCCCATTCTTGGACCTCCTCCCTTCCCTCTACTCTTCCAGGCAAAACTTCTACACAGAACATTCTAGAGTCTGCCTTGTAGAGCCTCACCCCCAGAGGTCTGTCACCTACAATGCCTTATACCCTAATGAGTTAAAATTAAATCAGTGGGTAAAGTGCTTGCCTTGCAAGTCTGAGGACCTGAGTTCTACCCCAAGAACCCATGTAAAAAAGCCAGACATGATGGTACATACTTATAATCCCAGAACTGAGAAGGCAGAGACAGGAGGATCCTTAGGACTGGCTGGCTAGCCAGCCTAGCCAAGTGGCAAGCCCCAGGCCAGTGGAGAGACCATGGTCTCAAAAATCAAGGCGAGATGGCTGAGTGGTTAAGAGTACGGGCTGCACTTGCAGAGGACCTGGGGTTTGGTTCCCAGCCCCCATATGGTGGCTCACAACTGCCTGTAACTCTAGTTTCAGGGGATTCCACACCCTCTTCTGGAATCTAAGGGCACTGCACCCATGTGGTGCATACACATATATGCAGGCTAAACACACACATAAAATAAAATATTTAAAAAAAAAAAACAAGGTGGAGAGTGCCTGAACAGTGATACCCAGGGCTGTCCTCTGGTCTCCACACATGTGTGTTGCACACATGTGCACCTGCACACACAAAATGAAACCAAAGGAAAACCCAGTTCCCAGGTCACATGGCCACATCTCAGGGGCTCAGTGCACACTGGGCACAGACAGGGACCTCTCCACTTCAGAAGGAGGTTCTGGTGACAAGCTGCTGGCACGTCCCATGCCCGCCTGCCTCTTGCCACCTTTGCTTTGCTGAAGCACAATGGCCGCTATTCAGGTGTCATCTTCCTGTCAGAAGGTGGCCAAGACTACGGCACACTCTCCTGCTGGAAACCCTCGCCCCAGTCTGTCCCCCACCACTGCCCTGGCCCTGGCCCTGGCTTCCCTTTGTTGTCCCCAGGGTACCCAAGAATGTCCCAGCCTCGGTGCCCTCCACGGTTCTCCAATCGAAGGCCCACAGGGACCAGAAAGAAAGTTAAGAAAGAGCTCCCTAAAAAAAAAAAAAAAAAAAAAAAAAGAGGTGGCCAGCTGCTGCCAGCCTTCAGAGGCATTCAGAAACGTGAGGGCGTTTTGTTGTTTTGGGGATTTTGTTTTTTTGAGTGCTGTAGTCCAGGAAATTGGAACAATCCTGTTCCCTCAGCCTCCTGAGTGCTGGCATGACAAGTGTGTTCCACCACACCTGGCAGAGTTTGGCGCTTAGTTTCAGTTTGAGTTCTGGAGAGGGAACCCCAGGGCATGCTAAGGACATGCTCTACCACCGGGCAAACTTTTCCATGCAAGAAAGGAAGGAGGAAGAGGGAAGGGAGAGAAAAGAGAGAGCGGGGAGGAGAGAGGAAGAAAGGAAAGAAGGGAGGGAGGGAGGGAGGGAGGAGGGAGGAGGGAGGGAAGGAAGAGAGAAGGGGAAGGGGGAAGGAGGAGAGGAGGGGAAGGGGGGAAGGAGGAGAGGAGGGGAAGGGGGGAAGGGAGGAGAGGAGGGGAAGGGGGAAGAGAGAGGAGAGAAGGGAAGAAGGAGGGAAGGGAGGGTTTGGAGGAAACTGGCCGTGCAGTCGGCCTTTGCACTCTCCCTGACTTCTGTGTCTGTGACATCTCACCTACTTCCTTGGTCTCACTTTCCATCCACAGCTGGGACCTCTCAGACCCCACTGTGAGCCCCATCCTCTGCTGAATCCCAACTGGGGTCCCACCACCTGCCCTGCCCTCCAGGCTCATCATTCCACAGAAGCCCAGGCTGTGCTCAGCACCCCTTCCCAAGCCTGCTTGTTTTTCTGGGCTCCCCATCTTGGTGATGATGGCCCTTAGGCCCCAGTCCCCAGAACATTGGTCCCCAAGCTCCACCCGTTCCACTCCTGGGCTTCCTGAACTCCTATTCATCTTCCTACGGCCCATGCATGTACTGCCCACCCGGCCCCTTCTGTCCCTCCCCAGCACTGGAGGATGACATCCTTCCTAATCAGGGTGACCTCCCAGCGCCTGTGAGGTCTGGCATCAGCCTCCTCTCTTATGACAGCACACTTTACACACTGAACTCCATTCTGTTTTCGAGCCACACCATGCTGTCATTGGGGGTACTTCATACATGCTGTTCCGGCTACCAGAGTGACTTTCCAAGCACCACACGACTAAAGCCTTCCAGTGTCACCAGCATCCCACTTGCTTCCATCTCCTCCCACTTACAACAATCTCCCCCCACCCCACCCCCACCCAAGGTTCCTAAGTACTAGGGACAGCACCCATCAGCAAACCAGTTTGTGTGTTTATTTACACACAGTTACACACAGCATCTCAGTGAGACGCATGACAAAAAAGCACACTCTGTTAGGAAGGCAGAAGTCCCTCAGGCCCCAAGGCCATCTTGAGAATGGCTATAAAGCCAGATACCCCTGGGGAGACCTCGGCTGCAGCCCTGTAGGGCAGCTGAAACCTTTGCTCAGTTACCACAGCAAGCTGTGGTAACTGTCACCTTCACATGGGATTTGTAGATATTTCCGGGTGTTTATCAGGTGCTGGGTTGGTTGAGCTCTAGAAACACCTGAGTGACCTTGTTTAGTTTGCACAGCAACCCCAGGAGGGAGGAGCTGCTGTGCCCAGGTGAGGGGCACACCCAGAGAGGGGAAATTACTTGCCCAAAGTCCCAGAACTCTGAACTGCCAACAGGCCTGGGGGTTATGCTAGGGCATACACTGGCTCTGGGTGCCTTGAATCAGGATGGATGGATGGATGGATCGATGGATCGATGGATGGATGGATGGATGGATGGATCGATGGATGGATGATGGATGGATGGATGATGGATGGCACTGAGAGCTAAAGTAGACAGAGATGACAGTGACAGAGACAGAGAGATGGATGGATGGATGATGGATGGATGGATGGATGATGGATGGCACTGAGAGCTAAAGTAGACAGAGATGACAGTGATAGAGACAGAGAGACATGGAAGAGACACCAGGAGAGACACAAGGTGTTGCCCTGAAGCATTCACACACACGTGCAAAACTAGGGGAGGATGCACCCTAGGTTGGGTCGTCCAGGCCAAGGGCAGGGGTGGGGCCTGCTTGGAATGGGGTCAGGACTTCCTTGGTGGGCATGGCCTGTCTTTGTTGGGTTGGTGGCTGGGACCTCTCTGTGGTGAGCTGTCATGTCTGAGGGCGGGGCCTTTGTGGTGGGCGGGACCTATGAACCGTAGGGCAAGACCGGCGGTGGGCAGGGAGGGGCCCCCGCAGTTTGCAGGACCCGGCGTGTACGGTCCAGGCCTGGGGGGCGGGGCGGAGGACTGTGCGGTGGGCAACGTCTGGCTCAAATGGGCTGAGCCTTCTGCTGGGAGGAGGCGGGGCCATCTTTGGGGCGGGGCCTCTTTGGGGGCGGGGCCGGCCACCCTGCGCGGCCCAGGCTGCCGGGTGGAAGTGCTCACCCGGCATCGTCCAAGGCCGCTAAGAACGTCGTGCACACCTTCTTCCTGAAGATCTTAGGGATCCAGCTCTGGGGACCGGAACGAGGGCGGGACGGGGACCCGGGTCAGACAGCCCCGTGAGCCCCGGGGACACCTCCAGGACCTCAGCACCCTGCTCCCCATGCCGGGACCCCAGAACCCCAGAACCCCATCCCGGGACCCCTGGGGCCTAGTTCCCCCATCCCGGAACCTCACCTCCCCATCCCGGGACCCCGGACCCCACCGCTTCTGCAGACCCCGCCCAGCTCCCTCCCTGACCCGCGCTGCGGTACCTGCTCCTTCTCCGTCCCCACCATGACGCCGCCAGCTTGCAGCCCTGCGGGCTCCGCTCAAACCCTTCTGCAGCCGACCCGCCCGAACAAACCGGATCCGCCGCTTCCCAGCCCAGCCCGGGGCGGGGAGTCCCGGGACACGTCAGCGGGGGGCGGGGAGAGGGCAACCGGGCTGCGGGGAGGAGAGACTCCGGCTGGGAGGCCGAGAATCAGGATCCCAGGGGTCAGACAGCAGGGGGCAGGGGCAGGGGGAGAGGAGGACCCCAAGAGACAGACTCAGAGACCTAGAGAGAGGGAGACAGAGGCCGAGAGAGAGAGGGACAGAGACTGAGAGGGACAGAGAGAGACAGAGACCCAGAGAGAGACAGAGGCAAAGACAGAGACAGGCAAAGACAGAGACCCAGAGAGAGAGACAGAGAGACAGAGAGACAGAGACAGAGACAGAGAGACAGAAACAGAGACAGAGAGAGACAGGGACCGAGAGAGACAGAGACAGAGAGACAGAGACAGACAGAGAGAGAGACAGAGGCCCAGAGTGAGTGAGAGATGAGACAGGGGCCCAGAGAGAGAGAGAGAGAGAGAGAGAGAGAGAGAGAGAGAGAGAAACAGTGACTGAGAGAGAAACAGTGACTGAGAGAGCAGACAGAGAGAGAGACAGACTCAGGGAGAGAGGGACAGAGACCCAGAGAAACAGAGAGAGACAGAGACAGAGACCTAGAGAGAGGGAGACAGAGGCCAAGAAAGAGAAAAAGAGACCAGGAAAGAGAGAGAGGAACAGAGACCCAGAGAGAGAGAGAGAGAGAGAGAGAGACCAAGACCCAGAGAGAAGGACAGAGAGACAGAACACTGGAGAGAGAGACCCAAAGAGAAGGGGGAGGTGGGACAAGCAGTAAGGGGGGGCTCTGGGTCCTGTGGAGAAGGTCAGGGACCCTCAGAACAGGTGGCCGTAATGGGGGTGTGGAAACTATAAAGGACAGAGACAAGAGGAACACATCGTGACGTGCTTTGGTGGGTGACACTTGCACCCAGAGAAGGCAGGGCCACCTGACTCCTGCCAAGTCTCTCTGGTGGGGACAGCTGGGGCTTAGTAACCTGAGCCCCCAGCACCCTCCCCCCAGCTATATTTATAGCCCTGGCCTGGCTTGGTCCTCTACCTCCAGATCTGAGTTCCAGTGACAGGTCATGGGGTGCTGAGGACAGACCTCCTCTACTCTCTTCCAGGGTGTGTGTGTGGGGGCACCCCACTCTCTCACCAAAGGTCCTATCCTGGCTGCACATTCCACACAACCATACCCCATCACATTGCAGGGGTCCTCCCTGCTCTGATGCGCCCTCCCCATGTTTCCCAGTACACTAGAGGTCCCCAGCTGGATGAGTTAAAAGTCTAGCCATTGTCTTAAACTTGTTTGCAGTCCAAGTCCCTGCCCCCATCTGCTCCTGGACAGGGAGACCCCTCCACCCACTGGGTCCTCAGCAGGAGGGGAGGGGCAGGAGGGGAGTGACCAGAATAACTCAAGCTGAGAATAAATTTAGCCTCGGAGAGGGGAGGGGACAGACCCCATTGGCCTAGCAGTGGGGAGGGAGGTCCTGGGATGGGGTCACAGCTCCAAAGGGGACACCCTCAGAGGGGTGTCTGGGACTTGAGGGAGACAGGCAAACGGACTGAGAGAGATACCACCAAGGGGAGACAACCTGAAAATCTAACCAAAAAGGGGACAGGGGCCCAACAGAGACAGCTGAAGCCAACTCCAGGAGAAGCATCACCGCTGACCATCCCCATGGGCAACCAGGGGCCATGGTTGCATACGTGTCTCCTCTGGGCCACAGTGTCCAGCCTGCTGGTCCCTCCTGCAGTGACCCAGCAGCTGAGAGGGGCTGGGCTGGGCCTCGGCAAGTGGAATAACAGCTCAGGCATCCGGAGGCCCTCAGAGGACATGTCAGCTGAGGTTGACCACCACATCCACAGCCAGGAGGGCCATCGAGGAGAAAGCGACAGAAGCCTTGGAAAAGAGGACAAAGATCTCTCTAGAGAATATGGCCACCAGCTTCAAGGCCACAGGTACCGTAGTCAGGAGGTTGGAGAGGAGAATGTCTCTGAGGAGGTCTTTAAAGGGCATGTTGGACAGGGTGGACACAGAGGCCATGACGATGAAGATGTAGGAGACTCAGCCAAGCCTGGGAACCACTTTCCCAGCCACAGGAGCCACAGTCATGAAGATGAACATGAAGAGAGTACCGTCTCCAGCAAGCATCACCTTCAGGTCCCCAGGCACATCCACCAAGGCCACAGAGGGGACGACAACGATGGGGACGAGGAGGAGGAGGGGGAAGATGGAGAGAAAGAGGCATCTGGGGATAGACACCAGGCCCACCATCACCAGGTCCACTCAAGCGAAGGAGATGAAGAAGGCTCAGATGAACGCCATCATGTTCACAGCCATGGGCACCAAGGCCACCACAAAGATGAAGGTGATGATGATGATGTCGATGACCACCATCATGCCCACATTCAGAGACACCAAGGCGAAGAAGAAGAGGAAGAAGAAGGAGAAGAAGGAGAAGAAGGAGGAGAAGGAGGTGACTCCACTGAGTATGGACACCATGTTCATAGATATCAGCACCATGGGGAGGAAGAGTATGATGATTCTGATGAAAAAAACCATCATGTCCTTAGCCATAGACAGCAAGGCCAAAAGGAGGAGGAAGAAGAAGAGGAGGAGGAGGAGGAGGAGGAGGAGGAGGAGGAGGAGGAGGAAGAGGAGGAGGAAGAGGAAGAAGAGGAGGAGGAGGAGGAGGAGGAGGAGGAGGAGGAGGACTATCATGCCCCCAGCCACAGTCACCAAAGTCATAAAAAAGAGGAAAATGATGATGACGACAACAATGACGGTGATGTCAATGACCACCATCACACCCCCAATCAGAGACTCAGAGGCCACAAAGAAAAAGATGATGATGATGAAGGTGATGACGCCACTGAGTACGGACACCAGGTCCACAGACGTCAAGGCCGTGGGAAAGAAGATGAAGAGTCGGATGAACACCACCACCACGACCCCAGTCATGGCCACCAAGCTCACCAAGACAAAGAAGAGGAAGATGAGGCTATAGCCACTGAACACTGGCACCAGACTCCCAGACATGTTGACCATGACATTGGAAGTGAGAAGCAGAAGGAAGAGGAGGAGGTAACAGTCAAATTCAGCCACCATGTTGCAAGTCACCAACCCCAAATCCACAAGAGTGAGGAAGAGGATGACTTCCCAGAGGAATACACAACAGTCCCTGGCCCTCACCACCACAGGGTCTCTGAGGATGGAGAGGAAGACAACTCTGCTGAGCTTAGCCACAAAGCCTCCAGCCACAGGCCACAAGATCAACAGACTAGTCAGGGTCACAGAGAGTCTTTCCAAGGTAAGATTGGCCATCAGCCCCTGGAGCGTTCGGAAGTTGGGGATAGACATCGTTTCATGGAGGCTGATTCCGAAGAAGGGAGGAAGGAAGACCACAGCTCCCAGGAGGAGGAGGAGGAGGAGGAGGAGGAGGAGGAGGAGGATCAGAGAGAAGAAGCCCAACATGAGGAGGAAGAGGAGGAGGAGAAAGAGGAGGAGACAGAGGAGGAGGTTGTTCATAGCCTCCCCTTGAGCCAGGAGGAGGAAGAGAGGAAGGAAGAGAGGAAGGCTAAGGTTCAGGCTCCACTGAGCCATCACAGGGTACAGGAGGAGGAGGAGGAGGACATCCTGGAGGAAGATCTGCTCCCCTTCACCATCATCCCAAACCCCCTGGCTGGAAGGGAGATGGCTGGAGAAGGTTCCAGTGAGGAGGACAGCCATGAGGACACAGGTAAGTGACCTGATTGAGTGTGGGTGGGAAGGGTGGAATCAGCCTGCAGGAGTCACTGACTTCTTCTGTCCCCACAGGTCCACAGGATACCCAGGAGTATGGGAACTACCAGCCGGGGTCCCTGTGTGGCTACTGTTCCTTCTGCAATGTAGGTCCTGGACAGCCCAGATCTGCCCAGGAGGAATGCAGGGGCCCTGAGCACCGAAGTGCCAGGGGAAGGGGAAATAGTTCCAGGGCAAGCTGTTGACCAGAAGCTGGGGGGTAGGGAGATCTGGAGATTAGCTGCCATGGTCCAGGACAGTCAACCGTCCAAGTGAGCACTCACAGGACCCACCCACAGTGAGTGGGACACTTGGAGTTGTCTTGAGATGATGAAGGGGGGGGGAGGAGCCACTGGGGAGAAAGGGGACCTGAGCTCAGACGTAGGGATCAAGAGTAGAGACCACCCTCTCCCAAGGGGACACAGGGGGTAGGGTCTCCATCTAACCATGCCCTCTCTGTCTGCAGCGATGTACCGAATGTGAGAGCTGTCACTGTGATGAGGAACACATGGGGGAACATTGTGACCGGTGTCAGGTGAGACCTTCCTCAAAGCTCAAACCTCAGCGTGGCTGGGACCATTGGATCACCCCAGCCCTCCATCCTGGTCTCACCCACAGCACCTCAAGCCTCCTCAGTGCACACCTCTCCACTAGTCTCAGGCCCCGGGTGGCAGACTCTCCTCACCCCTGTCTTGACAGCCCCCTCACCAGGCTCTCTCCTTGTTCCTGTCCCCAGCATTGCCAGTTTTGTTACCTCTGCCCTCTGGTCTGCGAGACCCTCTGCACTCCAGGTGAGCAGCACTGAGGATAGGAAACACTTAGAGGGGGCAAAGCCCAGCACTGTGAGCCCTGATGGGATTGGACCCAAACCTGAGCTGTGAACCAGGAAGGTGGGGAGAAGGTGTAAACTTGAGGGGGTAGTCAAGGCGGAGGGCAAGTAGGCAGTGTGGCCTGAGGCCAAGACTACGCTAAACTGGATGGGAAGTCCAGTAAGTGAGTGGGTGGGGCTAAAGCAAATAGACACCAAAAAACCGGGCTACTGGAGAACTTGGGAATCCAAAGTTCGTTCAGTTGGAGGCAGGAATTAAGAGAAAGTGGGCAGAGGGCACCCCAATCCCTAACGTACCCTAAGTGTACCCCCACATGTCATCTGGAGCGCCCCTCAATCCTCTTCTACTCCCCCACAGGAAGCTACATGGACTATTTCTCCAGCTCCCTGTATCAGTAAGTGTGTGGGGCTGGGGTGGGGGCGGTTTAACGACCCCGTTTAGACGAGCACTGAATCACAGGGCCACTCTGGGACTCCGGTGTTCTCGTCCGTGAAATGGGCAGGGTCATGATGGCCAAGTGTCCTCTGGACCCTGGCTGGCTAACCTCCGTGCCCTTCTGTCCAGAGTCCTGACTGACATGCTGGAGACTCCAGAACACTGACCTGGTCTGTGACTGAGAGATGTATCGTCCCTGACCTTCAGCGCCTTACACAAGCCATATTTATTTCTTTGAATAAACATCTTCCCGGAGACTTTGGTGTCAGGTGTGGGGTCGTGGTCCCCCTGGAGTACCCTCAAGCCTCGTGGTTTGGGCTCGGCCCCTGGTATGCCTGGGACAGGAGGGGCTGGACCCCGGGTTCTGCAAGTGGCTGAAGTGCATCCTAAATGTCCTAATAACACCACCAGGTGTGCTGGTGCTCGGCTTTTAACGCCAGCATTTCGGAGGCCGAGGCAGGCGGATCTCTGTGGGTTCGATCGAGGCCAGCCTGGTCTACATGGAGAGACCATGCCTCAAGAAAGAAAAGAAAGAAAGAAAGAAAGAAAGAAAGAAAGAAAGAAAGAAAGAAAGAAAGAAAGAAAGAAAGAAGGAAAAAAGAAAGGAGGGAAGGAAGGAAGAATGGAGGGAGGGAAGGAGGGAAGGAGGGAGGGAGGATAAACAGAAAGAAAAGAAAAAGAAAGCTGGCCAACACGGGGGCTTTTTGAAATAGTTTTCTTTACCCATGATCACTGAGTGACGTCTGGGGCCAAAGGCCGACGCGGAGTGGAGGGGGCGCGGGCTCCCTGCTGTCGCCCCCTCCCCCACGCCAAGTAACCCAGCGGCATCGTTGAAAGAGGGTTTTTCCCCATGCAAACCCCGGAGCCGGAGGGAAACCAGGGGCGCAGTGCTGCTGCGTCCCGGACCCCTGGGCACAGACACGGCCACAGCACTGGGGCGGGGAGGCCCCGGGGGACACGAGACATGGGGGAGGGACGGGGGACCCCGCCCGCAGATGACCCCGGGGACAGACCAGTGCGGCGGGGCGGGGCTGGGTGGCACAGGGGCGAGGCTTGTAGCAGCGAGTCTCCGCTCTCCCTCGGGTGTGGACGGAGAAGGAAGACTTGGGCCCCCGCGGCTGGGCAGGAGGGCGGGCCGCCTTGCCCGGCATGCGCCGCAGAGGGAAGCCCCGCGCCTTCCCGCAGGTGCAGGGCGCCCGAGTCCCATTGGAAACGGATCAATAAATTACAAATAGAGAAATAGGAGGCCAGGAAGAGTGGGCCTTCCACCGGCCCCCTCTCTGTTCAGTTCCTGTAGTTTGGTCAGGCCCAGTCCACGTGGGAGGCGAGGACACGCGCTCCCCGGCTGGTGTGTGCAAGATGGTGCAGTCCGCAGCGCGCGCTCCCGCGCGGGGGGAAAAGAGGACGGTCCAGAGCCAGACCAGAGTCAGGGCAGGAGGGGAAACAGCCCAGCCTCCGGAGGGTCTTCCATCCTAGTGAGGTCACCTACATTGAGGCCAGACGGTTCATGAAGCGGGGGCGACCTGGTGCGCCACCCCGCATCTCCAAAGTCGCCTGGCACAGTCCCCACCTGGAGGCACGCACTAGCAGGAGTAAGTCCGAACCGAAACGCCATCTGCCCGCGAACTCCCAGAAGTCTGGCCTGGGAGGGAGAGCGGCAAGAGTTCAGCCTAAAGTACCCCAGCGTTCCCCCAGGGATTCCTTTCCCCCAGTGTAAGAGATTGAACCTGAGGTCCCCTGCATTGCCAAGCAGGGGCTCTAGCACTGAGCCACACTCCAGCCCCTCACTGGGGGACTCTAGGCAGGGGCTCCACCACTGAGCCACACCCCAGCCCCTCACTGGGGATCCTAGGCAGGGGCTCTACCGCTGAGCCACACCCCAGCCCCTCACTGGGGGACTGTAGGCAGGGGTCTACCCTGAGCTACAGCCCCAGACCTCTTTTTATACTTTCTGAGATCAGGTCTCACTAAACTGCCCAGGCTGGCCTTGAACTCACTGTACTGTAGTCCAGGAAAGCCTTGCAGTCTTGCACTCCGTTTGCCTCGGCCTCCCCAGTACCTAGGATCATAGGCCTGGGGGTGGGACGGACCCAGTTTATGTGAATGGCGGCTTCAACTCCCTCGCACCTTGCCTGGACTTCCCCTTCGGACATCACAGCAAGTACACTGTCCCACCTCCACCGTGGGTCTCTACTATCCCCAAAGCCTGGTGGTACCCAAATAAAGTGCCCAAGTGGCCCATGGTGAGTTCATCTCCCACACTGGGAAGGAGATGCAAGAATCACCCCACTGCAAGGACAGAGTCTGGGTGGCTGGAACGTCCTATTTGTCCAAGGAAGCTGGAAGGGTGGATTGGCTAGAAGGGTATCCCAGGAAGGGCATGGATTCGGGACTGTCACTTTTTTTGTTGTTTTGTTTTGCAATCCCCTACCTTCAGGCTGCAGTTTTCGGAGTGGGAGCCCGGGTGAGCCTAGGGCTCCTGCTGCAGCCGAGCGAAAGTTGGGGGGTAACATCTCAGCGGAGTCGGGGGTCACACCCCGGAGGTCCTTCTCTCGGAACATCTTCCTCCAGGATGGGGAGCGGCTGAAAGACTTGGCGCTGTCCTGGTTGGACCACCGGAACCGAAGGTGAGGGAGGGGGATGGACGCACTGGCTCCGCCCCCTCGTTTGACTCCACCCCTCCCCTTAGTCCCGCCCCTCCCACGACTCAGCTTCCAACCACTACAGGTTGGCAAAGCCAATCAGATGCGCCCGGGCCGGCGTAGTCTCCGCGCTGTCGCCACGCCCACCTCGTCCAGCCGTCTGTCTGTGCCTAGTGAGATGAGGTTGCTGAACTCCTTTTCCAGCAGCTGTCGGGCCTGGAAAGGAGGGAAGCGAGGTTGGAGTGTGAAGGCTGCAAGGTGGGGGTGCCCAGCACGCTCCACGCCCGGCCCCGGCTCACCTGCGCGTTCTGCGTGGGAATCTGCAGCAGTAAGGCCAGGTCTGAATAGTCGAAGGTTTCATCCAGAGCCAGCAGCGCCCCATGCACCCCACTCTCGGTGAGATTCGTGGCGAATTCCTTCAGGCCCAGCCCAGACACCCAACCCATGACACGCTCGTTGGACCACACCATAACGTCTAGGGATGAAAGGGATCTCAACTGTTTGCTTCCCAGGGGCCAGGCCCAGCCAGTTGCCCTCATTTTTCCTTTGTGGCCACGCCCCCATAATGGCCCCACCCCTCCTCTAGGATTAGGTAGGCGCCTGGAGGCTAGGCCCAGCCAGTTTTGGCTCCCTGGCCCCTGTCCCCTGTTGGTTCCACCTACCTAGCCTCCTTCCCTCCAGCTCCTCCCCATGCCAGGTCTCACCTCGGATCTGGGTCTGGCTTTCCTCCCTCCTCCGCTCCAGGTCTTTCCGGTCATAGTTGAGTCGTTTCAAGCACATGATACCATAGTGCAGACTCACCCTGCACAACAGGGTAAATGGAGTCACCAAGAAGCATTACTAGAGTCACATCCGTGGTTCCTATGAGTCATGCACCCACTTGTGCCTGGGAATTGGATCCTGAGCCCTGCACATACTAGGCAAGATATCTACTGCTAAGCTACACCTTCAGCTTTCTCTCAACAGGACCTACTTTATTTAATTTTATGTGTACAAATGTTTTGCCTGCATGTATGTAGATGCACCATGTGTGTGCAGTGCCCATAGAGGTCAAAAGAGAGCACTGGATCCCCCTGGAACTGGAGTTACAGACAGTTGTTAGCTGCCATGCGGGTGCTGGGAACTGAACCCCAGTCCTCTGCAAGAGTAGCCAGTGCTCTAACTGCTGAGCAATCTCTCCAGCCCCCAGGATCTCTGTTTTTACTTTGTATTTTGTGACAGGTCTCACTAGGCTGCCAAGGCTGGCCTTGAACTCTGTAGCCCAGGATAGACTTAAACTTGTAATCCTCCTGCCTCAACCTCCCCAGTAGCTGTCTACCAGGCCCAGACCAGGTCTAAATTTTTCCGTGGATCATCTTGGTTCATTGGGCACAGAGCTAGAATTTCAGGGAACTTTCCCACTGGCTGAAGCCTCTTTAGGGGCAGGGCTTCTCCCCCTGTGCTGTTTCCATCCACCAGGCAGCCCCCACCTGTGGAAGCTGTCCACCATCTTGAGCTGGCCCCGGAGCTCCTTCTTGTTCAAGTGGTCCAACATCCGGGCATCCACTAGCGACTCCATGAAGTAGCTTCGGTATTGTGGCAGCCCGAGGCTGGGCAGCCAGTCGTTCCCCACCCACTCGTGGTTCATGTCGCCATATGCCAGGATCTGGGGCCATGGGCAGGTGAGGGAGGAGGTCAGGCCTTCTGACCCCTTCCCATGTGTGTATGAAAAGGGCACAGTCTAGTCCCCAACTCAAGATAGTTCTCTCCCACTGTGGACAACGGGCCAGCTCAAAGTGGCCTCCTACACCTTCCCCAAGGGCGTTAGGTCCTCAGTGTCACCAGCATGCTCCATGTCCTAAAATCATGGGACCTCTCACGCCATTTTAGCTCTAATGGTTGTCACTACCTGTATTAATACAAGCTCCTGGGTGATCTAAGTTACACGATTTGTTTGTTTGTTGAGACAGGGTCTCCCTGTAGCCCCAAGCTGGCCAGGAACTTGATATATAAACCATGCTGGCTTCCATCTCCCAGAGATCCACCTGCCTCAGCCTCCCAAGTGCTGGGATTAAAGGCATGTGCCACCATGCCTGGCCCCTAAATTATACTTTAAATTTTTTTTGGAGATGGGCTCTCATGTAATCCAGGCTAGAACTCACTATGAGGCTGAAGATGCCCTTGATTTCTAGGTCCTCCAGCTTCCACCCTCTCGAGTACTGGAATGACTGGCTTACACCACCACTCTGGTTTCTGTGGTGTTGGGATAGAATCTAGGCTTCTGTGTGCTAGGCAAGAGCTCCATCAACGGAACCCAAGCGGCAGTCCTGCACCCCTGGTCTGCACCCCTTCAGCTCAATGTGGCCACACTCCCAAGTCAGGAAAATAGGTTAATGCAATGTGGCTCTCCTGCCAGCCAGGGACCCTGAGGTTAGTCCGTTGCCCAGGAAGCTGTGAAGCCCTCAGAGTCCTTTGTGCACTTTAGGATCAGAAGACAGACCACAGACCAACTGGAGCCTGCTTTGTGGGTGAGTCATGCCCCTTCTCCAGGCGGCACTGCTTTGTCCTGCCCACTTCTTCCTCCCTGCTGGCTCCTCTGCAGCTCCACCATAACCAGCATAACACCTGAACCCTGT